CAGAACCCCTCCCTGCCCTGGCACTGGGAGGCGTCTTCTCCGGTTTCCATGCCATCGTATTTCTGCCCTATTTTATGCTCAAATGGCCATTTCACTGAGAGTGTGCAGACACGTACTTCCTTCTGCAGCTCCCTCGGAGGCCTGGAGAGCAGCCTTCTTGAATGAATATTAGCTCCAGTAACTAGTTTGTTAAAGATTTCTCAACACGGGGAGGTTTTGCATTTAACAGGCTTTCTAGTTTATGGAAATCTTCTAACCTACCTGGTAATGAAGCAGCAGACAAACAACATCTGGGCCGATATTTATCTTGTTAAGTTAAACATGCACCTGGCCCCTTAATTATGAACTGTAATTGACAACTTCATCATCGCAGAGCACTTTTCTGTCCATGCCACAGTGGTGCAAGTAATTAGGTAATAATTAATGATTCTTTAAGTGCATTGTTTCCTGCAAGTTCCATTTCCACTGTGTGTCTGTTTAAAGAGCAACAACTCTGTTTTACCCACGTAGGCACATGTTGGGATGAAGGAAGGCTGCCTTGCTTACCGTGGAGATCTCAGAGGATCATCTGTAATCATATCTGACCTTTCTCCTACTCCACACAGTGCTCGTTTTAGCGTCATTCAGCCTTACCAAAGAGCCATAAAGTTTTAGAGCTCATTACAGACACCAAACAAATAACATTAACGAAGATATTTATCATCACGTCACACGTAATAAGGAAGCGTGTAAATATATCAATAACCAACCTTGGGGTACACATGTACACATAAACTATGGTACATGCACTAAACAAAATATTATTTTAAAAAATGTTTAAATAATCCTGAAGATTATATAAAAATGTGAAAAAGTTATCAAATTAAGAAAAAGAACATAAAATTATCTGATTATAATGAGGTAAAAAATGTATGTCACTAGACTAATGGAAGGGGAACGTTTAGTCATACCCAGAAATAAAAATTATTTCACTAGGATCCAGTAAAGTGCATGTTTTCTTATTTTACTTTTTGTTATTGTTGTTAATCTTCACCCAAGGATATTTTTTCCATTGATTATTTTTTCTAGAGAGAGTGGAAGGGTGGGGGAGGGGAGAGAGAGAGAGAGAGAGGGAGAGGGGGAGGGAGAGGGAGGGAGAGGGAGAGAGAGAGAGAGAGAGAGAGAGAGAGAGAGAGAGAGAGAGACATCAGATGTAAGAAAGACACATTGATTGATTGCCTCCTACACGTGCCCTGACAGAAGCCAGCGATCAAGCCTGTGACCCAGGAATGTGCTCTTGACCTTGAATCAAACCCACACCCTTCGGTGTATGGGGCAACACTCCACCACTAAGTAACACTGGCCAGAGCCTACTTACATTGTTTGAATGTAACATATCCAAAAGATATAGAAAGATACGCATTGAAAAGTCAATGTTCACCTTGGACTGCTTCTTCCCTCTCGGGACCTTGTTCCATTTCCTAGGAGAATAACTTTTCTAGAAAGTACAAATTTTTGCATGTTGTTCTAAAGACTGTTTATGAATTTATAAAAATACATGTACACATATTTTTTCATACAAATGGCCACAGTTATAGCACACACATTGTTCCACACCTCGATATTCTCCATCAGTATCTCTTGGAATAATTCCATGTCATTACACAGAAAGCTATCTAATTATTGTTAATGGTTATGATGTTTTATTATATGAATTTATCATAATTTATTTAACTATCCTGTATTCGTGTACATTTAGGTTCATTACAGCCTTTTGCTATTTGAAATAATGTTCCAGGCAATAGCCAAGGTGATACATTTAAAATGAAAATGAGATCAGACTTCTGATTTAAAGCTGGCATTGTAAAGCTAAGACATTTCCCTTAATTTCCCTGGAAATCTTTGTAAAGTGAAAAGAACAATTGGAAATATAAGCACAGAAACCATAAGCATTTTCTTTGTAGCAAAAAAAAAAAAAAAAAAAAAAAAAAAAAAAAAAAAAAAAATATATTGATAGAAAGAAAGAAAAATCCTACATACCAGTATGTCTATCCAGTTCATAGAAAACAAAGGTTAAATGAACTTATATATACCAAACCCTGGGTTATAAGAAAAGCCTTACCTCTCTCTATACAGAGCCCTTAATATTCTTCTACAGAAACACTGGTCAAAAGCTTGTTGTATATCCTTTAGAGATTTGTAATCAGAGACTTATGCTTCTGATAATCAGAGAGCCGCTGGTTTCAGACCAACTCTCCCGCTAAAATCACCTAGAAGTGCCTGGGAATGTGACTATAAATGTGTGTTTGAAGATACTGGAGAACTATGAAGGCAGTGAGGAATTGAGGAAGCAAAATCCTGGAGAAAGGACATTTACAAAAAGGTGAGCTTGGTGTTAACTTCCAAAGCTTTCCTGGTCCAGGTCTCTGATGATTCACACGTGGTGGTGGGGAAACAGGCTGAGCAAGGATTTCCTGCATTCTTAGAAGACTTAGGGGAAACAGAGGAGGTGTCCTAGCAGACACCCCAGGATTCCCATTGAGAGCCCTACAGAAACAACACCGCAGTAACAGAAATGAACCAGAAATAGAACATCCCTTACCAAGACTGAAGCCCACCGTTACGTTAATTCAATATGTGATGGAACTAAAGTGATTGGATTGAAATGACTATATCCCACCCTACCTGCCTACCAGAGGCAAAAAGAAACCAGCTCTAGGCATGGGTAACAGCCTCCAGAGCATCTCTAAAGATACACTTAATATGGGGATTTGGTCAAAAATGGTTACATCAGGAAATAAAGCCAGATGGCTTAAATCATGGGGGGGGAAACAAGGGACAGAAATAGAGCCACAGGTAATTCAATTACGGTTTTATCGGGCATGGTCTTTAAAATAAGTGACTATTGCTGTTCAAGAAATTAGATGATAAGATGGTAGATTTAATTAGAAAATTTTACAATAAAATAAAACGTAAAACAGAAATTGAAAACAGATGTGCCAGGACCTACATCACCACATCTATCTTCAGAAGGCTGAAGTATTGAAAGACCAGTAGAAGCTCCACAATCTGAATTTTGCCAACCTATAATAATTGGGTTAATGTAACAAAACAAAAAAAAACCAGATGTGTCTAACAGCAATATGTGTCTATATATTATGTACATAGAGATTATACATAAATATGGATATAGGTAGAGATAAAGAATGTGTTAACTGGGGAAGGATCAGGAGAAAATATTAAAAATGAAGCATGAAAAAAACAGGAAGGGTGTAGTAAGAGACATAGCCAAAAATTTAATATGTATAAGTCATATCCAAAATTTTTAATATGTGTAATTGTGTTCTAGGAGAGAATGTAACACATAAATGGGACTGAAGCCATTTTTGAAGTGATACTAGGTTGAAATGCTCTGATGAAAGATATCAAGCCACAGGTTTAAGAAACACTATAAACTCCAAGCAAGAAAATATAAAGAAAAAAAAAAAACCCACACACCTAGATTTATCACAGTAAAACTTCTGAGAAATAAATATAAACAAGAAAGGTGCATTGAAAATAACTAGTGGGGAAATGGAATAATTTCCTTCAATAAAGCAAAATAAGAAATAACACTTACTTGTCGATGAAAATTACAGAACCCAACCAATAATGGAATAACACCTTCAAAGTCTTGAATAAAAATAACTGGTAAACTTAATTCTTTCTAGAGAAAAAAAGTCCTTCAAAAAACAAAAAGATATCTCAGACCATAAAAAGCTGAGGAATTCAGCAGCAGCAGATAAACAATAAATGGACTACTAAAGCCCCTCAGGAAGATGATCCCATTTTAATCAAGGGAAATTCAGAAAAGAATAAAAAACAAAATCAAGGTCAGTATGAGACTGAGTCAAAATAAATGTAATTGTATAAAACTAATAATTGTTCATTGGGATTAATCGGTATACAAAAATCAAAATGCATAGTAAGCATCCCAGGGTCTTTGCACTAACAGAGAGATGGTAAAAGTACTAATTTTATGTTTGGTTTTAACGAGTCAGCATTTGAAGATGATATGATCACGTGTAGAAATTTTAAAAATTTACAGATAATTAATTTATAATGGTTAATAAATACATTAGCCCTAACCGGTTTGGCTTAGTGGATAGAGCGTCGGCCTGCGGACTGAGGAGTCCCAGGTTTGATTCCAGTCAAGGGCATGTACATTGATTGTGGGCACATCCCCAGTAGAGGGTGTGCAGGAGGCAGCTGATGGATGTTTCTCTCATTCATGTTTCTAACTCTCTCTCCCTCTCCCTCTCTGTAAAAAAAAAAAAAAATCAATAAAATATATTAAAAATAATAAATACATTAAACAAAATTGTTTCACCCACAAATTAATCGTATTCCTTTAGAGAAGCAACAACAACAAAATCAGAACAGTCATAGGATACCAATATTTTTTCTGGACAGGAAGGCCTGGTTCAAGCCAGTGACTGAAATGGTGCGAGTTCACCCACACACATCCCTGCTCCACAGAGAATACTCACTCCCCTTTGCCTGGCTACCTTCAGCTCATCCTTAAAACACCAGGTTCACGGTCACTGCTGCACCCCCAGCGTCCGTACCTCCACTCTATTCAAAACACTGGTGCTCAGACAAAGGGCATGCGGCTCAGTGCCCATGGGGAGAAAGGAGGGAAGCTGGGGGCAGGTGAGCTAGGAGGGTGAGCGTGTGTAGGAGAATATCTGGGTGGTTTTTAGGTCCGGAACTGCCTGAGTTATAAGAGCGCAGGAAATGAGGAGGGAACTATCCAACCAAGAGCAGACGGGGCTGGGAGAGGACGGAGAGAAGGGGTGAGCTGTCTTTAAAAGGGCAGTGGGAGGTGCCTGTGGAACAGCCCCTGGCGATGCTCAAGAGAGGTGAGGGCTCAAGAGAGGAGAATAGGAAACAGCTGCCGCCCCTCTTTCTTGCCCAGAGTTCACGCTGTGCCTGTAGAGTTTCAAAGTTCCTGCGCATCCCACAAATCCCACACACCCCATTCACACACACACACACACACACACACGCGCGCGCGCGCGCGCGCGCGCGCGCACACGTTTCCTCGACCTTCAAAATCGCGTAAAAGAAACCTAACTGTTTGAGGGTGTGGGATGGAGTGAGGAGGTGGAGAGGAAGGTGGGAGAATGAGAAGGATCTGCCTTCACTCACCCAGGAAGGATCTGAGCTGCCATGGAATCAAGCACTTTCCTCTGGGCGCCTAATGCCACCTAGTGGCCGACTCTTGTAACTAGTTGAATTGCCACCTGCTGTGGAGACCAAAGCAGGCCAAGGCCTCCAGAGGGGCGGGCGGGATGGGGGCGTACAAGGAAGCAACAGAGGAGGGAGGAGATGATTGGAAAGCCAGAGGAGAGCCGTGCTTCTGGGGCCCAGGATGCGTGCATTCGGCCCCGTGGAACGAGGCCCCTGGCTGCCCATTGGCGGTGCTCGGTATGCAGCGCCCCCTCCCTGGGGAGGCTGGCTTCTCAGAGCCTCGGACCCCTGGCCCTCTCCTTTGCCTGATAAGAAGAACCCCCCGGGTCCTTAATGCCCTCCCTTGCTGATGTTTTCATCAGGTTATTAGCAGTCTTATTACCAGTGCTGGATATCGTGGTTCTTATTGGGGAAATCCAACAAGCTTTTAATTAGAGAAGCAACAGGAGGGGGTAGTCAGCTGTATTAATGCCTCTGAAAGCCCAGCACAGCTACAAGGAAGATCATCTCGCGGATAACAGCACGAGGGAAATTACCGGAACAGCTTCCAGCACATAACCAAGTGGAAATTCCCAGAGAGGGTCAGCGGCAGCGAGTTCAGGCTTGTAGCAAAGTGCAGCTCTTAACAACGTGTCTGTTTCCTTATCCTCGCGAGAGGCAACGAGCAAGAGTTGGGATCCCAGCGAACAATTGTTATTCGTTTTCTACAATTACATTTATTTTTACTCACTCTCATACTGACCTCACTGTAGAGGGTGATTCCCGTCCGGTTTTAAGGGCCCCAAATCCAACAATAAGGAATCTAATACAAGGGTGTCTTAGAAATAACCTTTCACGCTGAAACTGGTTTGGCTCAGTGGATAGAGCGTTGGCCTGTGGACTGAAAGGTCCTGGGTTCGATTCCTGTCAAGGGCATGTACCTTGGTTGCGGGCACATCCCCAGTAGGGGGTGCGCAAGAGGCAGCTGATCGATGATTCTCTCTCATCGATGTTTCTAACTCTCTATCCCTCTCTCTTCCTCTCTGTAAAAAATCAATAAAATATATTTTAAAAAAATAAAAAAAGTAAAAAATAAATAACCTTTCACCATCAACTCCCAGGAGGATCCTAAGATTTTTCTTTCCAAGGAATGTCACCAAATGATCTTAGGTCAGGCTATCAGATAGCCCCTGGCATTGATTATTTATAAAAATGGCCACCTTTCTTTCTTTCCCTGTGTTTGCTCCTGGAGTTGGGGCTGGCTCGTGGTGTCCGGTAGAAGCCAGTGGGAGCAGGAACAACAAGGCTGTCCTGTTGGCCGGTGTGGGCCCAGGGCCTGGGAGAGCGAGCGCCCGGCATTGGAGGTACCTGTCCACAACGTGTGTGTGGAATGAATGAATTCCTCTCCTGGGCTCACATCTAACCCTGACTTCGAGGCACGTTTCACCTCACCGGAAACTAGACATCACCTTTCCCGGGCCTTCCACCTGGCACAGGTTTCCATCCGGATCTCCTGGAAGCAGGGCCTAAAAAGGAGACTCTGAGCAAGCCGCTGATAGAGGAGGTGCCCCGGGGAGACACCGTAGGGAAGTGAGGGGAGCAGGGAGAGGAGAAGGGGGAGTGACCAAGGTCTTCATCGCAGCAGAACCAGCCTTCAGCCCTGCAGGGAGCTGGGGCCTGTACATTGCCCACAGAGGTGATCCCAGCCAGAGGAAAAGGGCTGCCTGTTGGAGCCCAGCATCTCTCAGCCACGGGCCAGGCTGGGAGGGAGGTGTAGAGGGAGGGTGGTGTCCCTCAGGCACCCCTCCATGGTTGTCTGGGCAAGGGGGCAGGTGTACGCCATGGGCAGCCACCCCTGCCGCAGCTGGACTGGTGAAGGAGCCCTGGCGGACACACAGTCTGCTGGGACTCATCCCTGTTTGCCGTCTGTCAGCGATTTATCTTCTTCCCTGCAAACATCACGCTCCTAGAGATCCAGATCATCATCGCTTTCACCTTCGTGTCTCCCAAAGCAGGGCGGGAGGACGAGCGAACCTGTCCTTGGGAATCCGAGGAAGGAGTGAATGGCTCCATGAGTGTACTGTTGGCGATGGAGTGTGAAATCCTTACACACGTTCACTGCTTGAATGACACCATATATGTTTCACGTGTGTGGCCTTCAGCAACCATTTTGGATCGGCGCGGGTGAAAGGGGAGATATGTACAAGTTCAGTGACCGAAACTAAGCTCCCAGGGTGGAATGGTTCTGCCTCATCCCCCAGTGGCCCACGGCTTCAAGGAATTGATCATGAACTCCTAACGGACAGGTCATGGTGGGCACTCACACCTCAGGCCTATAGCTTCTTTAGGAAGAGGATTTCTTGTGCTTTTTTGTTTCTTTCTTTGAGAGAGAAGGGGAGAGAATAAGGGAGAAAGAGAGACAGAGAGAGAGGGAGAGAGAGAGAGAGAGAGAGAGAGAGAGAGAGAGAGAGAGAGAGAGAGAGACAGAGAGAGACAGAGAGAGAGGAAGAGAGAGACAGAGAGAGAGAGAGAGGGGGGGAGAGGGAGAGGGAGAGAGGGAGAGGGAGAGGGAGAGGGAGAGGGAGAGAGGGAGAGAGAGAGAGAGAGAGAGAGAGAGAGAGAGAGAGAGAAGAGAGGAGAGAGAGAGACAGAGAGAGAGGAAGAGAGAGACAGAGAGAGGGGGGGGGAGAGAGAGAGAGAGAGAGAGAGGGAGAGGGAGAGGGAGAGAGGGAGAGGGAGAGAGAGGGAGAGAGAGAGGGAGAGAGAGAGGGAGAGAGAGAGAGGAGAGGAGAGGGAGAGAGGAAGAGGGAGAGGAGAGAGAGAGAGAGAGAGAGAGAGAGAGGGAGGGGGGGGGATTGCCTATCATATGCACCCTGTGCAACCGGGGCTCCAATCTGCAACCTAAGTCTGTGCCCTGAGTGGAAATCAAACCAGAAGCCTATTTTGTTTTGTTTTGCTTTGTTTTGTTTGTTTAGCAAAGGATGGCCCTCTAACTGAGCCACCTGGGCAGGAAAGTAAAATTTTAAGCCAGCCTTATCCGCTGTTCTTGTGGGTCTAGGTTAACATACACCTTTGAAATACCATAAGTAATCCTCTCTCCAGACCCCTCTAGGTGTAACTACCCTCACAGAAGCACTTGACCCGTTAATTATCCTGAAATCCAATCCCCACCCCGCTTGCTCCCACCTTCCTGTACTCTTCCGTATCCCCCTTCATTCCAAACGTGTGAACAAAACTGCAAGACTGTCACTCTCTGGAGCATTGGAAGTCTTGCTCCCGGGCATGTGGTTGGTGTGGCTCAAATAAAATCTTATAAAAATCCTCTACAGGTTTGGACCCTCTTACTTGCAATGGAGGGGGGGGGAGGGAGGAGGGGGAGGGCAGTGGGAGGGGAGTGTGTTTTTCATCTACAGGAAATGTAAAGGGTTAAGTCCACTGTGAAATCCTGTCTGGGCCACATTCTTTCCACAAACAATGTAAGTAAGATATACGTTTCCCCCTATGTTAATGATAGGAAATGGTGTAACTTGCTCTCTCACCCCTCCTTATCTCATTTATGAGTCCTCCTGTGGAAACAAAGAGCTCCTGTGAGCCAGTGACCAGCAGAGGGCAGTGCGGACCCACACACTGACTTTCCTCCCGGTGAAGTCAGGACCTGGAAGGTGCCTACACGTTTGGACTGGGGAGAGAATCTGCTCTCAGCTCCTGAGGCTTGCTGCTGCCTCAGCAGCTGGAGGTTCAGTTAAAGGACCCGGTGTGCCGGTTGTGTCATGACCTGTCTTACGTATTTCTCTGTTTGTGATGCAAATGAGTGAGGAGGCTGGACCCCCGGCTTTGCAGAGCCCAGAAGACCTACCTTCTGCACGTGGGGCTTGCAGGCGGCCTGCCCTGAGGCCTGGCTGTCATCCGGAGGCTGGGGCAGCCTAGGTCTCATGCAGGCTTCCCAGAACTCAGCGTGTGGCCCCCTCAGGCATGCAGCCAGGGCTGGCTCTGAGTGAGTCATATAGGACAGTTTCCTTAAACGCACTTAAAGATATAACTCATTCCATCTTCAACCTCATCCCTTCTGCATACCCCTTTCACTCCAGTGGGAGAACTTCTTTCCAGAAAAAAAAAAAAGAAAAAAAAAAAAGTAAAAAAAAAAAGTCTTATCCTTAACTCATGTTTTAATCCCAGGCATCGGAAGCACATAGAACTACTTTCCCTGCTTCTAAAGTTGCCTCTTTACTCTTTTATTATCCTTTTTGTTCACTAATATTTGGGCTCAAGAGCAAAGAAGCGTAAACTTGCCTTACCCATGCCCACCCCCCAGGTATACCAGATGCCTCCAAGATATAATACCTTGCAAGAGACAGAACCCACCATCTCACAAGTCGGGGGAGTACTGATGGGGCCAGGAGCACTTTGGGGTCCCAGCTGAGGGGAGATTAAGCTAGAGATACATTTAGTTGGGGTTACAAATATATACTGTACTGTTGCTTCGTTATGTTGTTAGATTATTACCACCCATCCAGGAATATTCCTGTATGTACTCAGCATGGCACACAAAGGCAGAGGGCCAGAGATCATGTCATCACATGAAAATGTCCTGCAGTATCAGAGCAGTGATGGAGCCAGGCAAAATGTATTATAGAATAATTAATACTAATACGATGTTATTTGTCTGGGTTTTATAATGCTTACAGTGGTTGTCAAGTTTTCTCATTCTTAAGAAACCCTCATTAGTATACCAATTTTTGAATGTAAATGTTTGCTTTTTTTTATTATTATTAAAGAGGACACTCCCACAATTATGAGTTTCAGGAACAAATACAACCTAGATCTGTCTTTGTTCACCTCAGATGCAGCGACCACACAGAGCCCACGCTCTAGCAGGCACAGTGTCTTGGAACTGTCTGTGGTGCTGGAGCCCAGGTTCACTGGCCTCTCTCCATGGTACTTCCTGAGTAAGATTGTCTGCCAATAAACTGTGCCCAGAGACCAAGCGTCGGGATTTTTAACTGAGGTCTTAGTTCATGCATAAAAATGGATGCTTGGCCCGTGCAGTAACTATAAAAACAGGAGAGAGTTGAAGAGAAAACCACAGATGACTCCCAAGAGTCAGAGAAACCCACAAAGCAGGGGCCCCAAAGGGGTATCAGCTGAAGAAAACATTGATCGCCAAGCCATGCCTGAGTCGAGGCCAAGGGTGGAGAGGAGGGACCTGGTGAGGAGGGGAGAGTAGGAACAGGCTGGACTGGGGTGGGGGCTGTCAGCTCTATTCTCAGACCAGAAGAACGCTGCAGTTGGCGTCCACCAGGGGGCAGGCTAACCAAGCTGAAAGCTCAGAGGCATGGAAATTGAGTTCACTGGAAGGCACCTGACAAATGAAAGGACCCCAAAAATCAGGTGAACAACATCTTTACTCCAATAACCTTCCAAGTGAAAGCAAGATTAATTTGTAGAAGCCACGAGGGAGCAGAAGGCTCCCAGGAAACACAGTCACAAGAGAGCAGAAATGGAGGCAGCCAGGGGGGGTGCGAACGTGCCCTCACATCTCCCCCACAGTGGTTCCTGTGGGTGGGCAGAGCCGCTCCCTCAGTTCTGACTGAGGACCCCCAGACGGACTCTATGACCCAGGATGGAGACTGCACCCCTGGTTTGTTCCCAGTGGCCTAGGGACCACCCCCTACACCCCTAAAGATTTGGGGGTTTGAGGCTGTGGCACAAACTACTGCTTGCTGGCCAGAACCACTCTCTCCTTCCAGTGTTATAGGGACGTGTGGCCATGTGACAACCTGTTGGCCAATGAGGCGTGAGCTGATGTGAGGCTTCTTTAAAGAGAAATGACTGGACCAGAGAGAGAGATCATCTGCCTCCTCTCACTCTCCTCAGGCCTGTGTCTGAAACAGATGGCCAGCCTCCCAGTCTCTCCGCCCCACATGGCACATTTGGCCAATGGCCTTTCTGGTACAGGGCCACCGTGCCAACTCCCCATTGATGTGCCCATCCCCAGAGGGCCTGGCTCTGCCCTGGCCCATGCCTACAGCGGACACATTCATTACTCAGGGCTTTGCAATGCAACCGCCAAGTTAGAGCCACCAGGAAAAACGAGAAGACATTTATTGAGTCATCTACAGCAGTTTGACATCCTCAACATCCCGGACGAGGTGTGAGCACAGCACTACTAGTGGCAGCGGTAGCGGGGTCTATGTGGCTGGTCTTTATTGCGCGGGGTGGAACCCCGGCTGACCCGGCTCCCGCAAGGAGCCGCGTCTGGGGTGCCGGGAGCGGTCCCACGCTGGTCCTCACAGGGGCAAAGGGACGGGAGACGGACACAGCACAAGACACACACACCCCAGGACTGGAGCTCAGGGGAGGAGAGGGAATGAGCACTGGGCCCACTCGAGGGCGTCCCAGGTCTCTGGGGGATTCCCATGGGTGGCAGGGGTGCTGACAGCACCCACAATGGAGTCCCCATCCTAACCCAAGAACAGCCTGACCCACGATGGCTACACCGGCAATGGTGTCCTCGGGGCCCGCCTGGCCTCCTCCCGGTGCTGGTAGGTCTCCACAGCGGGACAAAGGTCACCCAGGAGGGCTCGGGGCAGCTGACAAAGAGCACAGGGAGCCTTTCGGGGGTCTTCCCCCCAATAACCATTCCCACACGCGTGTGGTCACCAAAGCCCTTTCTCACGGGCGTCTCACTGCAGCCCCTTCCCTGGCCCATGGACAGACGCACAGCGTGTCCTCCCGCTTCCCAGAGAGGTTCAGCCAGGAGGGCAGCCCGGGGTGGCACCCAGGTCCCTAAATCCTGGTGACCCCACCACCCCTCCTGCACTCCGGAGTCCTAGCAACTTCTGTGGCCAGAGCCTGCCCTGCGCCTGGTGGAACGTGTTCCGAACAGAAGCTTCCCTGAGAGTCTCCCCTCCCCACCCCCACCCCCCACCCCTCTGTGCAGGGCCCTTTCCTCATGCATATTTGCACTAGGCCCACCTGCAATTTTTCATCAGCCCAAGGAGTCAGGGACAAACAGCAGGCTGGCGGCAAAGCTGGGTGAACCCCAGGTCCCCAGTCCCTGCTCGGGGCTCCCCCAGGGTGGCCCTAGTCACGAGGCTCAGGTAGGAATTTGTGGTGAAAAGCACTCACTGCTTTCACTGTGGAGTGGCCTTGAGGGGGTCAAGGGGACTCAGGGGATGACAGGAAGCCTCTCCCAGCTTCCCTTCCGGAAGGGACAGGTCAGGAGGAGGTGAGAGCACCCTGGGTGGGGGGGGGGGGGGGGGTGAGGGCAGCTCCAGCTCCCGGCACTGTCCCCCAGAGTAGGCAGTTCAGGGAGGGGAAGGGTCGGAGGAGGAACCATGACAAACCCTGGATGGGTCAGAGCTGCTCACTAGGCAGAGAACAAGGCCTGGCCTTGGGCCTAGGGACAGTCACGAAGCTCTCAGTCCTAGAGACCCCCAGAGCCTCTGAACCCCCAAATCCCACCCTCTGACCCCTCAGCAACCATTCCCACATGCGTGTGGTCACCAAAGCTCTCAGTCCTAGGGACCCCCAGAGCCTCTGAACCCCCAAACCTCACCCTCTGACCCCTCACAGGCTCCCTGACAGCCTCCGCAGCCCTGCCTGAGTCCCGCTGCCCCCAGGGCTGGGCCTTCCCAACACTGCCTCGTCCCCGGGAGGACTCGGCCCTCGGCCTCCCCGGGTGAGCTCTGCCCTGCAGGGTGTACAGAGCAAGAATCGCCCCCTTCCCGGTGACGACCTTGTAGGAACACGGAGTCGGGAACTGCTCCTGCTCCTCCCCCATCCCGTCCTCAGTGTAGCTTCTTATCCTGTCCGCACCAGGCAAATACTGAAATCCTTGCCCTGGGCCCATTCCGCGCAGATGACTGGTGTTTAGGCAGAGCATCCAGGGGTGCATTGGACGGGACAAATCTAGTCTTACTGTCCATTTTACAGATTTGAAAACAAAGGACCAGAGGAGGCTTTCCCTGGACTTCATGCTCTCGCCCCTCCACTGCCCAGGACCCTGAAGGCCAGCTCCTAACCTCCTGGGCATCCATCCCAAAGGCATAGGGACCTCGGTTCACAGGATAAGCAATCGTTGGCTCAGAGAGGAAAAAACAGAGTGACAAACTGGCGGGAACCTGGGGCCCACGGGGACCCAGGCCCAGGGCTCAGACAGCAGACGGGTGATTAGGGGCCAGCTTTGTTTTTGCTGGTCTGTGGTCTATGGAGAGTCACAGCCCCTCTGGCACAGTGACGCAGACCCGCTGATGGGGCAGGGTGAGGAGCAAGGTCCATGCTCCGGGGACCCTCCCACGATCAGGAAGGGACCGCTATCCCAGCCAGGGTCAGGGCTGGGTCTGCACATCATTGACCCTGGCCTGACCGGTCCCTCCAGCCCGTCAGCTCCCGCTGCGGGGTCCCCGTGGCAGAGGCAGCAGTCCCATCGCTAAGAATGAACAGCGCCACCCACACCTGTGTCAACTTGCACACAAAGCCTGGGTGACGCACCACAGTGACGCGCACCCTTCTACCGCTCCCCCTGGAACTGGGGAGTCACAGAGGTACAGAGCCCGGAGACGCACTAGTCCCCTGGCCTCCCAAATGGGGAAACGGAGGCCCAGGCAGGGAGCGCTCTGTCCACGGCCCAGTGGTCTGAGCCTGACAGGGGCAGGCCCCATGTCCCTGAGCCCCAGCCTGAGGCCCCTTCCAAGCCGCTCAGGCCCCCACGGCGGCCAGTGGACACCCCTTTGGGTAACACACTTGCCTCCCAGAGCCGGGGCCGGGAGTGGGGGGTCCCCGGGGTAGATGCCGGACAGAAGGACCGTGGCACACGCCACGGCCAGCCTGTGTCGCCCAGGTGCCCAGGAAGTGCAGGTGGCTCCTCCGCCCTCCGACTCTGCCCAAGGCCCAGGGCCTCCCTCCCGTTCTCCAGCCCAAGCAGCTCAGCCCTCACGAATCGCTCGGACGGCCTCTCCAGTGATGAGCAGCACACAACCCCCAGGCCCCTTCCTCTTCCTCAAACCAGACAAAGCCACCTCACCGTCCGCCCAAGCTCCGCAAGCATCCCAGACCACGGCCATGAAGCCCGTCCACACACACAGGCGGGGTCCCCAGAGCGGACCCAACATGCCGCCAGCCCCACATGGGTGTCCCCACGCTCGGGGCGTGCATGGCGCTCCAGCGCTGTCCTCCGCCCCCACCCGAACCTGGCCCACTTCCCCTCACACTGTGGGGGGCCAGGGCTGGTGCTGGGGTACCAACTCCTTCCACCTGCAGCTTCTCCTAGACACATGGGGGCGGGGGGGGGGGAGGGGGGTATGGCTTCCCTTCAACATCGAGGACACCTCGGTGTCCTTCCTGGGACCCGAGGGCAAGCGCACAGGGGGGTCTATGCCCCGGTCTCAGACTTCCTAGCTGAGGCTCAGCCCCAGGAGCTAGCTAGCGACTGGGGCTCCTCGAGGTGGCGGGGAGGGTAGGTGAGCTGGGGGGTGGGGCATTCCTGGGCCTCAAATTGGGCCCACGGAGGGCTAAAGGGCTTCATCCTAGCCATGGCTTTGACTGAGGGGGAGGGGAGCTGGAAGGACTTGGGGTTCTGTGAGGTGGAGGCGGCTGGGGAGCAGTTATTGCCAGGCATCGTCTCTCCTTCCACAGCGGATGCCCGGGCAGGAGGGGCCGAGGAGAGGCTACTGGGCGAACCCAGCCCGCGTGAGTTGGGGCAAATCATGGAGATGGCGAAGGCCTCGCATGGGTCCTCCCCTCCCCCCGCCCCCCGGCGGGCTCCTTCCCCTCAGACATACATTTCCAGCTCTCGGCAATCTTCCACGGGCCCAATGAGAAGCACCAGAACATTCCCTGACCTTACGCCCCTTCCGGGGAATGAAGTGCCCCGGAGCAGTCCCGCCGCCCGATGCCCAGGAGCCGGGCACCGGGCCCTCGAGACAGGCGAGCAGGAGGGACCTCACAGCCGCTGGAGGCCGCACTGGCATCCACGGGGGACCCTGGCTGGCCTCAGCGACGGGCGGGCCTGAGAAGGGCCCCTGACTCCAAGGAGTCCACACTGAGAGTCACTCTGAGAGGCCATGGGGTGGGGCCCCCAGAACCCCCAAATCAAGGCTCTCGGCCTCAGGACCAGGCCAGGCGATCGCTGAGGCTTGTGTATGGTGGGGGAAAGAAGGGGTGTTCAGGGGCGGTGAAGCTGGGACCCTCTGGATGGGCAGGGGCTGGACGAAGGGGCTGGGATGGTACAACTTTCCCACGTCAGAGGAGTATTTACACGTCTGGGGGCAGGGCCCAGGGGTCCGTGGTGGGTGGGGCCAGCGCCAAAATCAGAAGGGGGGCGGAATACCCTCTGCACCTGCATCCTCCTCCCCCCTCGGGGAGCCCGGCGTCCAACCCGGGGCCTGCCCGAAGGGAGAAAAGAGGCAACATGCGTGGCCGGCGCCCGGGCGCCCGGCCTGGAGTGGAGGCGGGGACGGCGGGGAGAGGGCTCAGGTGGCCAGGTTGTCGGTCGGGAGGCCGGACATGCGGATCTGGGAGCTGCTCTTGCTCAGGATGGAGAGCTGGGTGCCCCCGTTCACGCCGCTGCTGGCCAGGGACGGGTGCCGGTGCTTGAAGTCCACGGCGAAGTAGCGGTTCACCTTCCAGCTCCGCCACTTCCGCTTGATCTCCGCCTGCACCTGCGGGGAGCGACGGGGCGGTCACTGCCGGCGACGTCCTCTCCGACCTTGTCCCCCTGCCCCGGGGCCCATCCAGACGGGCACAGCCACCTCCAGCCTCGCCCGCCCGCTCCCACACTGCAGCCGGCAGCCCCGGGCCCTCGTGAGAAAGAAAGGCCTGTGAGGATCTGACCGAGCCCTGAGCCCACGTCACTGCGGAGCCAGGCCCACGAGTGGCTTCCTGTGGCCTCTCGTGTCCACAGCCAGTGGCCAGCCGCTGGGGGCCTTCAGGAAGCTTTACGGCACTGGCCCTGGGTGGACAGATCGGGCCAGATGCCCTCTTGCTGACCATCACCATGGGCTGCACCTTAGACCCGTGTGGAGCGCTTTAAAAACCCAGACGCTAGGACCTCCCCCTTCCCCTCCCCCCCCAATGAGCACATCGATATCTCTGGAGTGAGATGCAGTCCGGGCTGAGGACCACAATACTGCACCCCCTGGGCGAACACCCCCCTCCCCTGCTCTCAGAGTGGCATTTGGGGGGGCATGCCCCATTTCTGCTTTTGTGAGCCTCCAATACGGAACCTTGGTGGGGTGCACAGACTGCACAACGGGAAACGGTACTGGCACCCCTCCAGCCCAGCTCCCATCCACAGCAGCCCCGGGCAAGCTGTGCACTCCCATCTCCCCGCTGCCTCTCCTGGTCTGGCCTGGTCCGGCCTTGCTGTAAGGGTGTCGGCGCCCACGGAACCAAATCTTCTTTCCCACATGCAGAGTGGGGAGGTTCGCCGAGTCTCCCAGCCAGGACCCAAGCCCGGTGCTGGGAGTCCCGTCCACCCCCAGCCCCACCTCAGCACCTCTGGTTTGGGCTCCGCTCAAAGCGTCACCCTCACAGGTCAGATCTGGGGACCTCGGAGCAGAGCACTGGACGTGAGCATCGCTAGGAGGTGCCGGGCCTCTCCCCATGGTCTCTGCCAGGGCCCCACAGGCCCCTGTCTAGAGGGGTGGGCTTGGGCTGAACTCTGGGCAGCTCCCCACTCAGCACCCCTGCCCACCTCAGCCTCCTGAGCGACAGGACCGCTCCTCCACCTCGCCCTCCCTCACTTTTTCAGTCCTTCTTTACCAAGGCTCAGCCTGAGAGCCTCCCAGGCAGGTTTGCCTCTGCAGCTGATGCCTTTATGGGGGCGGGGGCAGGGAGGGATCTGCTCCAGGGGCTGGGCCTGGCTGTACAGGGGGCACCCTATCTGCTCCCCAGAGAGCCCCCCTCCACCGTGGGGTCTTACCTCCCCGTTCAGGAAGCAGTAGAGGACAGCCACCACGAAGCCCTGGGGAGAGAGAGCAAGGACAGCTGAGCGCGCCCGCCGGGACCTCTGCACGTGGGAGGTGGCGGGAGTGAGCAGGGAGCAGAATCACTCCATCACTCGGATGGGGCACCTGCCTGCCGCCTGGGAACCTGGGATGAGGTCAGTTCTGCTCCACCAAGATGGCCACGGCCACGGAGCCACCTGGCTGAGGAGGGAGCCCCTCCCACGGATACACCTGGCTTCCGAGCTCACACCTCCCTGGTCAAGTCCTTCCCTTTCCCCAAGGCCGGCTCCATCCCTCTTCCTCCACGAGGCCTACCCTGCATGCCCCAGAATGTTCTCTGGGCTCCCCAGCCAGCCTGCAGGCCCCCCGGGGGCAGGCCCAGCAGGACAGCCTGGCCCCGTGTCGTACGCACCCCTCCCCAGGCCTCACGCTCTGCGCACGCAACCCAGAGACCCGTGAGCGCCAGCGCCTCGCCACGTTCTTTACGGAATTCTCTGCCTTCGGGCTTCTTGTGCCTGGAAGGGACCGGCCTGACTCCCAAGCTAAGGCGTGGTCTTTGTCACTGGTCGTTTCATCAGCATAAGAATTAAAACGGGGGGGGGAGGGAGAGACTCAGGCAGACACACAGAAGACCTTTCAGACCCTCAAAGTCAAATGCATGTCTAAACACGTGGGTGAGCTCAGGACAGGTTCTCGGCTGTCACGGGGGGCACTCGGGGAGCCAGCCCTGCCCGCAGGGCCCAGGCGTGCTGCCACCTGTTCGCCCCGCACTGTCACACCACCTCTCCATCACTCATGTGTTCACACCCACCTTCTTACTCCTCCACCTGACACCCAGTCCACCACTTTCTCCCGTGGGTCACTTATATATTGTATATATGCCCGCGTGCTCTCCCACCCGTTCTGCTCGCTCGGCGCTCTGCGGCCAGGTCCCGTTCGAGGGCCCTGACTTGGGCCACACAGAACCCCGGCGCTGACAGGGTGCTCAGTCCACAGACTTAGGTCTCCCGAGAGAGGCCTGGCTCACGCCCCCTGGCCACAGGGATGGGAAGACCCCGGTGTCTTCTCACAGAAGCCAGCGTGCAGGCGGCAGCACGGGCTCTCCCAGCCCTGGCTGGGCTAGTGCTCTGACAGCAGAGATGGAATCCTGGAGGCCCGGCTCAGGTTAAAGAAGTTTCTAGAACCACCAGCAGGTTAGGGCCAGGGCCCTCTCCCCTGCACGTACCTGGAAGGAGCCCAGGCCCAGCTCAAACACCAGCCTTTCCCTCTTGCTGACGTACTCGGGGGAGAAGGCGAAGATCGTGTAGTGGATCCCGAACAGCGGGATGAGCAGCAGGGTGGACCGCGCCAGCCGCCTGTGGGGAGAGAGGAGGACATCGGCTCTGGGGGCCACCAGAGCTGGGGCCAGAGACATGGAGGGCAGAGAACCCCGGGCCCCACCCTCTTTTCTCCCGGGAGCCCTGTCCCTGAGCCCCCCGCTCAGGGCCCTCCCCAAGCACGCAGGGCCTAAGAGGGGAGGTGGTTGTCAGAGCCCGCACCCGGAGCTCCCAGGGAGGTCACAGGGGAACAGCCCCCAGTCTGCAGGGCTTCTGTCCCTCAGGCCACATCCTGCAGACCCAGGAAACGTGCACGGGTGAGCATGTGATTTACAGATGCCCCCACGGGGGAAGCAAAGTCAGGCAAACACAAGGGTGGGGTTTGGAAGGCTGGCGTGATGGCGTGACAGGCCCTCGGCAAAGCCCGCGTTCTCCTGCTGCCAAGGGAGCCCCCGTGCCGGAAGGGTCTGGGCTGGTCATGGAGTGATGGGGAGGTGCTGAGGGCAGGGAGGGGGTGAGGGTTGGGGGGAGGGGGGGAAGGTGCTGAGGGCAGGGAGGGGGTGGGGGGTGGGAGGAAGAGCCACAGAAGGAAAGACTTGGGTGGGGTCCTAGGAAGGACCTACTGACCCTGGGCATGAACTATTCCCACTCAAGCTGGGGAAACCTGACACCCTGAGTCAAAGGGAGAGAAAGCTGTCTGCGTGGGAGCGGAGGCATTCTGGGTTCCTCTGCCTGCCCCTGGCTCCTGGCCCGGAGGGAGGGGCTCTGTTCTGAGGGGTGGTGGGTGGGGCCCAGAAGCCACGTGAGACATCAAGAGCGTGCACAGTGGTATCCTGCGGGCCCTGCTCTGAAAAGGGGGCTCCCAGAGGGTCTCCGAGCATGGGACCCCCTCTCCGCCCACACCAGCACACCGGCTGGGTCAGGGGGCGAGCAGGAGGCTCAGCCTCTGTGTCTCCCTGCAGCCCTGGGTGCACACAAGGGAGGGGGGGCAGCTGGACAGGGGGGCTGCCATGGGATTTGGGGCCATGACACCGTGTGTCCCTCCCTCTTCCCCATCCCAGTTTTTCTGGGGCAGAATGTTCTGTGGAGTCTGGGCTCTGGATCTCAGAAGCAAATCCCTGGAGTCAGAGTGAAGCCCTTGGCTTCCCCATGGGAAGGGAGGAGGGAAGGGAGGGAAGAAAGAGAAGGGGGGGAAGGAGAGATGGAGAAAAGGGAAGGTAACCTGGGGGGACCTCCCTGGACCAGGCTCATCCCCGGAAGGACGATGCCCCTAGAGGGCTGGGCACCCTCCCCTCTCCCCCTGTGAGCGGCCCATTCTGCAAGACCCGGCGTCCTCAGACCAGAGCTGGTGTCAACAGGACCTGAGCAGGCAGGCGCTCACTCTGGGCCCAGGCACCAGGTCGCAGGGTCTGCCCCTCCATCGTCCACTCTCTCCCTCTCAGGCTGCGGCTCCTGAAGGCAGCTGGCACCTCCCTATCCGCACTGGCCTCGAGGCAGCACATGCGGGCACAGTGCCCACCCCCGGGGCTTGCCCATGGAGGGACAGATGGCTGCACAGCAGGTCTGAAGCCTCAGTCCGCACACTGACGGCGACCTGGGCACTCGGAGCCTCGCACCGAAGGCAGCAGGGAGTGACAGCTGAAGAATGAAAGTTTACACCCCGCTGGCATGGCTCCGTGGGTGAGCACCCACCTATGAGCCGGTCGGGGCACAGGCCCGGGTTGCAGGCTCGATCCTGAGGGAGGGGGTGTGTGTGTGCAGGAGGCAGCTGATCACTAACTCTCTCTCATCACTGATGTTCCTATCTCTCTCCCTCTCCCTTCCTCTCTGAAATCAATAAAAAAGATACTTAAAATAAAAAGTGAATGAAAATTTAAAAAAACACACAAATAACAATAGAGGACAGCGGCCTGGAGACATGTGTTCATCTTGGGGCCCCTCAGTGATGCTCCCTATAGGGGCTACTTTACAAGAGCAGCGTAATGGGGGCGGGGGGCCTCAGGAGGGAAGGCGCCCTGGGATGTGCCTGTGGGCCCTGTCTCCCTCCTACAGCTCTGCTCCCACCAATGGGCCCGTTCCCTGGGATGTTTCCCTGCAGTTTGAAAGCGCCCTGGACACCAGAGGGCCACCCGCTCCAGCCTTTGTGGTGGAAGTGGATGGCCAGAGTCAGTGTGTGAGACACAGTGACCTTTCAGGAATGGGCTCCGGCCCAGCCCAGCCCCTGGCCGGTGTGGTGACTGGTATCGGGGTGCCCACTGCACAGCCAGGGATGGCACTTCCCTCTGGCAGCCCCCAGGCTGCCCCAACAGGCGGGGACTCTGCTGGGGACCCAGCGCATGCCAGGGACCTTCTGGCAGATGGGGAAGTGGAGGCAGGTGGGGAGATTCCTGGGGCCCAGAGTCCCCGGGCCTCTGCCCTTCCCAGCTGGCCAGAGAGAGGCCTTGGAATGGGGACAGAGGGCGTGAGCCTTCCTCGGGACGCCCCTCTGAGGACAGTCACAGAACCACCATGGGATCCGATTAACCCACAGATAGTGACACAGGCCCTTGGCAGCTGTCCCCTGCCCCTAAGGAGGTACCCATGGCAGAAAAATACCAAGAACAGCTTCCCCCAGTCACAGATGCTCATCCCCACTTAAAAGGATGTCCAAGGAGGCGGCTGCTCTGGCCAGAGACACCCGAGGGCCAGGTGACAGGACTCCCTGGGTTCAAGTCCTCACCCTGCCAATTATGGGACCTGGAGTGAGTCACTTCACGGCATCTATGCCTCCGTTTTCACATGTGTAAAATGAATATACACAAGTACCCACCTCCTAAGGGTGTGGTGGGAACTCGGAGAGTGAACACAGACCGGGCACGGTTATGTGAGTGAGGTTTGCTGCAGTGAGGGTCCCTTCCCGGGTGGGGGAACCAACCCTATGAACGCAAGCTCTAAGACCAGCAGAAATAAAGGAGCCGTTCCGAAGACTCGACTGAGAGAAGTAAGACATTTGGGAAAGACCACACATCAAGGCAGCAGCCAAGCCCCAGTGGCTCCATCCCCACGGGCCTCCCTTCCCGGGCCGCACCCTCCCCTCCAAGAGTGCAGAGAACTCACAAGACACACAGAGGTCAACATGCAGCAGCCAGCGGGGCTCGGGGTTGGGGGCACTGCGCGCTGCCCTCCCCAGCCCAGCGGCAGCACGCGGGCTCCAGGCGGTGGCAGCATGCGCCCCCCTCCCCTCCAGGACACGGGCCACAGCCACGCACACTTACAGAGTAATGGCGGACAGTTCTGACATCTTGCAAGAGTGCTGCTGAGCCCGCTCTGGCCTGCAGTAGCATTTCTGCACGCAGCTGCTGGTGTGACAAGATCAGCACTGGTGTCAGCCGGGGCACCGGGCAATGGAGAAACCGAGGTGGGACTGAGAGCCACAGAGTCCACGGGGAGAGGTGGGAGGGCAGAGGAGTCGAGGGTGTGGACACGGGACCGGGCAGTGACATGGAGAATGAGGAAGCCGAGGGCCAAGACAGGGTCAGCTCAGGACAGGGAAACACACACCCATACGTGTACATGTCTGTGCATGGACATGCACACACACATGAGCACTCACACTGGGACCAGCGACGGGGGCGGGGGGGGGTCGAAGAGAACATGTGTTCAGAAGGCGGGGCCTGGGCTGGGTTTCTGAGCCAGAAGCTGTCGCCTGGGGCAGCTCTAGGCTCAGGGCTCGGCCTTGTCTGAGGTCACCCCGAGAGCTGGGCAGCCGGAAACACCATGGATCTCGAGGTGCCCAGCTCTGGCGGAACAGAGTCTGGAACTGGGCAAGCTGTGGGCTCATGACGAAGTCCTACTCGATGGCCACCGTCTCCCTCCTCACCTCTCTTCTTACACCTTAGCCTTCCTATCTGAGCCCCCAGGCACCTCGGCGCGGGCATACGGGGGCACAGAGGTGGCCTGGGCAGAACCGGCGGTTAGATCAGACCAGACCTATCCACTGTGACAGCCACTACCCTTCGTGGCTGAGTTTAAATTAAATCAAATTAAAAAGCCACCTCCTCGCAGGCCCTCGCCACTCGGCAAGGACTCGTCAGCCACATGTGCTAGCGGGTGCCAGACGGTCAGCACAGACCACGGTCATCCGCCGCTGAGGGTTCCGGTGCGTGGCACTGGTCCGGCTCAGCCTCCTGAGGGAAGCCTGATGGCAGGGCCAGAGGCTGAGGGGCATCCTGATTTTTAACAATTTGTCCCGCGTCCCAATTTTTGGGAAAATTCTTTTTTGACGCAGGACAAATTGTTAAAAATCAGGACTGTCCCGCCAAAAGCGGGACGTCTGGTCACCTTAATCTTTGGGGCACTGTCCCTCTGCCTGCAGAGACAAGTCCTCTGAAGGGGCCCCCACGTGTGGGCCCGGCGTCCAGTCTGGCTGGACATGCACCGGGCGAGGCCGCGCCTCCCTCTGCAGAGGCTCACGTGGCATGCCCGCCTCCTCCTGCCCTTCTCTGCCCGGCGGGTGCTTGGGATGGCACAAACCCGGACACTTCTTATCCTTCTCGGACAAACACGACGTCGGGGGTTATGGCTGCAATAGACTTGCCAGCTTCACACCCCTTCCCCAGGCTCCACGTGGCCTGAGCTCCGGGGACCTGCCCGTGGCTGCTGACCAGAGGGCCCTGATTTCTAATCAACCACAGAAGCGCAGGAGGGGGCTCACAGCTTCGTCATCGGTGCGTCCAGCTCTCAGAGAGTAAGTCTAAGGGGCCTTGGCCTGGGGGACATGTCGTTCCCCTGAGGCAAACCTTCGAATCACACATTCCAAAGATGGAACCTGCGAGGTCCCCCAGCGTCTGCGTCCCAGCAGGGGGAGGGGGAGGGTGTGGTTCTCACTTAATAAACAGGATCTCTCCATTCCCACCGCGCTGTGAGGTGGGCAGAATGGCTCATTTTAGAAATAAAGATGTGGGACACGATGCTCAGCTACCCAGAGCGGGGTCCCCAAACCAGCAGCAGTGGGGAACCCCACCTGAGCGCTCCTTAGAAAGCAGAATCCCGGGTGCCACCCAGACCGCGGCTCCGAACCCGCACTTTCACAAGATCCCCCGTGACCTAAGTCCAGTCCCGCATGGAACACGTGTCCGCCTGGTCCTCAGTGACTGTCAAAGGTCTGCTCCGTACACACACAGGGACAGGGGGACACACGTGCGCTGCTGTTCTTCTCATCACACACACATGTACGTGTAATTCTAAAAGGCGGGCCAGGTTCCCAGGAAGGAAGCCATCCCAGTCTTCCTGTGTATTTGCTGCCTCCCCCAAGGCTGACAGGGTGGCGACTCTCCCCTAAGATCAGGGGCCTGGCCCCTCAATCGTGGCCCACGTGTGACACAGAAATCAGGGCCTAGGAGCCCGACAGCCCAAACCACAGATGAGCCTCTGACACACCTGCACGCAGAGCTCCAAAGCCTCAGCTGCTCCCCTTTGAGGTCCCTCCTGGAGCTCCCACATGGTCCCCCCTTCCTGGGCCGGAGGCTGGAACTCAGCCCCTGGGAGACGTGTGCTTCTGATGGGGAGTGGGGTACAGGGAGCAATGGGGGGGGGGGGATCTGGCACTCGGGAGGGCTCTCAGCAGGACCTAGGGACAAAGATAAGGGCTCTTCTTCCCAAACACACGCCTCCCTCAAATCCCCAACGACTGTCCACAAGGACCCACGACAAGAAACACGGGAGAGCGGCAGGAAAGCCGGAGACAGGCGTGAGAAAGATGGCAGATGCCCTGCCGGTCACAGCAACTAGCGAAGGAGGGAAAGGCGTTTAACCACGAGGAAGACAGAAACCCAGGCCGACGGACGCGCTCAGCTCTGATCTGGATCCGGGGGAAGAGGAGAAACTCAAGACAAGGGTGCCGGGTGGGGCTTCCTAGCGTGCAGCGCACCAGCCTGTCTCAGAGGGGGGACCCCGTCGCAGGAAGTCAGAAAGCCCAGCTCCCAGCCCAGGCCTGCCAAGGCTTTGCTGTCTGTCGCAGGAAGGTCAAAGCCATGTCCAGGTCTGGGCTCCCCCATCTATAGCCAGGGATGCAGCACCTGGTGTCTTGGGCCCGTTTGGTCTCAGGCCAGACTCCAGGAGGCGTCAGTGCCCTCAGAGGGCGGGGCTACCGGGCTGTAGGCCCAAGCCTCACTTGACCAGACGCAAGACGAGACCCCTGCAGGCAGCCCAGTCGGGTCACCTGATCCTAGTGACCAGTATGGCATTGGATATGCCCAGCCCTCAGGATGTCGTGGTCTAAACTGGACATTCTCAGGAGGGTCCCCCTGATGCTAAAAGGCTGGGAACCCCCAGAACCCAAACCTGTTCCCAGCTAGGCTTTCTACCCACGATGGTACCCCTACCAGAAGCCAGCTGGGGGTGGGGAGGAGAGAAACACTTGAGTGCAAGCCTCTGATTGACCACTGACTCCCTGGGTGACCTTCTGTGGGGCCATATTCCTTCTCTGGGCCTCAGTTTCTCTCCCTGCAAAATAGGGGTAACCATCCCCTGCTGTCAAACCCTAACAGGAGTTGGGATGGTGAGGTGCTCCAAGACAGGGGAGAAGGTGCTTTAGGAGTGGAAGATGGAGCCCATCAGGACCAGGTGCCCTGGAAACGCCCAGCCCGGAAAGGCCTGTCTGCAGAGGCAAATGCTGACCTCCTGACACTGGGTACATGACGGCGCTGCTGGGCCACCCAGGACATCACCGTGCCTGTTCTCTGCTCCTTCCTTTCCCCGGGGCCCGTGGAGACCCTCTGTGGAGTCCCTGAGGGGGATTCGGATGGGGTTTCCCTCCCCCACACCAGCTTCCAATGCCCACCGTGCCGTGGGAAGCCCCACCTGGAATACAGTCCTCCTTCAGGGCCAGGCCTGAGCCGCTCAGTGCGATTCTGTCTGCCCTGCAGCCTCCCCCGCTCGTCTTCAGGGCCCCTGCTTCTCACAGAGGAACACGCTGGTCCCCGGGGGCAGGCTAACCCTGACCCCGGCGGGCTGAGCCCTAACCCCTGCCCAAGTCCACGGCGAGCCTGAGCACACGCCAAGCCCTGACCCAGGCCCGCACTCCACGCCCAAGCCCTGACCCCGGATGCTCCCTGTATGAGGAGCACAGGGAGAGAGTGTGGGGGCTCAGTGCCCCCCCAGCTTCCCGCCGCCTCCCCTCTCCCCCCCTGCCACCGTCCTTGGGAGGCTGGGCCGAGAGCGCCGTCTTGGTCTACGGAGGGAGGACACACCCTTATCAGCTGAGCCGCTGGCACCAACCTACAGGAAAGGGGGTGAATGCTGGTCTGAGGGCACAGGCAGGGGGTCCTCTCGGGCTTTCTTGGGGACTCCCAGGCTTATATTTGTTCTGGAAACAGAGGAAAAAACCAAAAAGCTGTGGGTAGGTCTGAAGAGCTTCTCAGCCCAACACATACGTGGTGGCCCAAGGGGACACGGGCACCACCCTCAAACCCTCTCCCACGGGCCTGCCCTTCCCAGCCCCACCGTCTCCCTGCCCACAGCAGACGCCCTGCAGCTCCATGCCCGCCGGCGGGCAGCTTTACACAAGGCTGCAGCCCTGGGGCCTCCTCTCCCAGGAAGCCTTGTTTATACACTTGCTCACCACCCTCTTCTGCCTGGGACGTCCCTGAGGCCGGGAATGGGGGTACAGTGGAGCCTGGGGTGCAGGGCCGGCCTGCCTGCGGCGCAGCTATGCCTTCACGTTCCCACTGGGCTCACGGCCCTGCACTGGTAACCAGCTCCCTTGGCTGCGACACAGGGATTACATGTGCACGCAGACATTTATACGTCCAGCTCGCCAGAGCATTAAAGGTGCGTGGACTGAAGTGCAGGTGACTTTCAGCGCCTGAGTTCTCAGCAGCACCGTCCCTTTAACTCCCCCTCACTTCCGCAGCAGGGCCTCCGGGACTCAAACCCTCGCTGAATTGAACAGGATCAAGCTGAGCCTTGTCCTGCGTGGGTTCTTACCCCAAGCCCTCCCTCCCGCCAGTGTGCAGACCACATCCATCCAAGGGTTTAACCTTTAGGACTTGAGACGAGCACTTTCTCTATAAAAAGGATTTGCTGAGATTGTGAGGGGATTTTTACATGAGAGAAGCAAGCCCTTAGCTGGTTCTTTAAACGTTTGTGCTCACGTGTGCAGGCAAACTTTGTTTGGTTGAACTTCACAGGTGGTGCATGTGTGTGTGTGGGGGGGGTGTTTACAGATTAAAGGGTTTTTTGTTAATTTTGTTTGTTTAACATATTTTTCTCGATTTCAGTTGAGTAGGTCTATTGGTGCCATTTGCTCACTTCGTATCTGTCACATTTTGGTAATTCTTTCAATATTTACACTTTGTTGTTATTATTGTATTGGTTGTGGTGGTCTGTGGCGGTGGTCTTTGGTGTATGAGAGTTGTCCTGGAGACCACACACTGTGCCCAAATAAGACAAACAATGGACAGATGTTCTGACTGCTCCAGCGACTGCCCGTTCCCCAGTCTCTCTCCCTGTCCTCGGGCCCCTGTTCCCCGAAACACAGCGACAGGGACGTGTGTCCTTCCTCAGGCTGTGGCTGGGCCTGTGTCTCTGCACTGGCAGAGTGAGGGGGCGCAGGGAGAAGCCCAGAGAAGGGTCCCGGGACCACAGAAGAAGAGACAGAGTCTACCAGGACCCGGGGCTGCTAGAGCTCAAGAGAGCGATGAGGCTGACTCGGCTACACACTGGCGTCAGAGTCTGAGATAAGTCTGGGGGGAGCCAATCCACCCTCGAGCAGGAAACGGGGACCAGACACTAGGACACAGATCCTGACGCCGGAGAGGGGGGAGGGGAGGAGGGCAGCAGGGCTGAGCTGCCCAGGCCACGGGACAGGCAGGAATGGCCCCTCTTGGGCACTTAGAGCATTGCAGAGGACAGGCCTGGGAGACTGAATGCCATGATGGGTGGGTAATTTTTTTTACTACATGATGTACACGTGTAAGCAGAGGTTGGTAGGAACTTGCAAAAGTATAAAAAAAAAAATGAAGAAAAAGAAAACAGTAAACGAATGAGAAAACAGGAGGGGGTTCCTTCCCAACGTAATGGAATCATCCTCCATGCAGACGGAACAAAGCTCACCCCGCCAGGCCCTACTCGGTCCCCACTGCAGGGGAAGGGCTCCATGGGGCGTGGTGCCTGGGCTGACAGACAGACAAGGGAGGCCATGTGGAGTCTGAGGGAAAGACCTAGGATGGCTCTCTCAGCAGTTTCTGCCTATCTATCTATCTATCTATCTATCCAGAAGAATGGTTGGGTTGGAGATCCCTCTACTGTCCCACTTGTCCACGGAGTAGCTATTAAAGTTCTGGGTTCTCTGATGAAGGTAGAACAAAGCCCCCATTGATGCAATGAGAATACCTCAGCTCCTTTTAACCTGCTCTCCTCTTAAAAAGCCAAGGAAGCAACACCCGTGGTTCATACCCCACCCACGAACAGACCCCCGAGACTGCCCCCAGGTTCTCTGTGCCCATCTGGCCTCTCCAGCCCCCCACAGGGGACTGACCTTCCTCCCTCCCCAGCATCAGAAGTGTCTCCACTCCCCTCACACCCAGCTGGTCATGCTTCTGATCACCAGGCAGGAGGAGTCAGGTGGAGGTGCTCAGTCTGACTCAGGGTGGGTCGAGGACTGGGACAAGTTGGGACAGGTTGGGATGGGGTGACAGGGTGGGCCACAGCAAGCAGGGCTACGCTGCTGGGGACATGACTGCAGGAAACCGTGTAGGGAACAAACCACATGGCAGTGGCAGTGAATGAAGAAAACCCTACACTCAGTGGTAAGAGGTCGCCTGCGAACCCCATCAATCCGAAACCTATCAGATGTTCCTTTGCTCTGGGAAGAGGGAGTTCTAGGGGGAGGACCAGACCCCAAAGGAGAGCTGCCCCAAGGGGAGGAGAAGAAAAAGACTCCCTCCTTCCATTACCCAGACCAGCGAGAACGTCCACGTGACCTGCTGGTGGGGCTGAAGCCACTTGCACACCAGGGCTGGGAGGGGACCATCAGGCAGCCACTGGCGCTCATGAGCATCCCAAAGAACCAAGATCCCCAAAGGAAACCCAACTTCTGAGCAACCAAGATCCTAACTACCCTCGGGAACCTGGCCATTTCCATATGGATTTCCTAGGACAATGGTCGGCAAACTCATTAGTCCACAGAGCCAAATGTCAACAGTACAACGATTGAAATTTCTTGTGAGAGCCAAATTTGTTAAACTTAAACTTCTTCTAATGCCACTTCTTCAAAATAGACTCGCCCCAGCCGTGGTATTTTGTGAAAGAGCCACACTCAAGGGGCCAAAGAGCCGCATGTGGCTCTCGAGCTGCAGTTTGCTGACCACGGTCCTAGGGTGACATGTCATCGGCCAGTCTCCTCCAATCTCTCTTCCCTTCCATGTCATCACCAGGTGGATTGGGAGCTGCTGGCATGGCAGAAGACAGATAGGCAACGAGATTTCCAAGGCACTTGAATCAGAAAGAAATCTTGCAAGAGCCCACGCTAGGTTACCCTGTCCCCCAAACCCAGGCCTGTCCTCCGGAGGCCTGCGTCAGAGCCCCCTCAGCTGGCGCAGCGGACGATGGCATTCACACAGTGGTACTTACAAGTAGATGCTGGACTCGTTGCCTCCTGTGTCCGGAGACTGAAGTTTCTGCACGAGGATGAAGATGATGCCCACAAAGAGCCCAAAGTTCACCTGAGGAGCAAAGGGAAAGCCAATGGAAATGATGCTGGGCAAAGCCTGTCCATACCCCTGCCTCTGCACACCCTACTACCCCCCGAAAAGGGCCCCCCATTCCCATCCAGCTGAGATCCCAGCTAGACTCAGAATTCAGGATGGCGTTCATACGGTTGAAATGACAGAAGAGACAAACACAGAAGAATTCCTCAGGAGTACCAAGAAACAGGAAAGGTATCATTAGTGAGCCAGGAAAGTGAGTCATTTCCAGCAGAGAGAGAGAGAAAGAGCAGACAGGGTCAGTATGAGGGAATAATTCCAATGCCAGACCGAAAGAGAAGAGGCTGCTGCAGAGGTGAGAGCTGGCCTCTGGGAACGCCAAGTTCACAGTCACTGAATATGGGGGGCCGGAATGGACAACCACACCCATTATCCATTTAAGGCTGGGGAATGGTAACAGCAGCGTTTCCCTGCAGGTACAGACCAGGGCAAAAGCTCTCTAATAAAAGTGGGGAGCAGTATGTATGGTGAGGAAGGAGGGAGGTGAGCAAATAAACAGAAATGAGGCACGGCAGGAGGAGCACACAACAACATCTGATGCAGCCAAAGCAGCGCTCCGAGGAAAACGATAGCCCAATACTTACTAAAGCATGATAAATGTTGAAGATAAAATAATTAAGCATGCAAATCGAAGGCTAAGGAAAGAGTACCAAAAATGTAACTTAGACAAGAAAATTAAGAAAAACCAAAATTCATTTTTTATTTTTTTTTTTAAATAAGAGAGAAAAAAAGATAGACCAGGTCAATAAAAATACATTTCCATGTTAGGTCTTGTTTGTGTGTTTTCACAGAGCTGTTGGGATTATAAAGCATGCCATGTGAGGGCAGGGTGCTGTTCCTCAGGTACTCTACCACTCTCATCAGCACCTGGAATTTAGCTCAGTAAACACTGCTAACTGCATAAGTCCATTCAAAGGGGAAAAAAGTAATTAAAAAAAAAAAAAAAAAAACAACACTAAAAGCTTCTCTCTATATCAGTAGTAATCTACTAAAAAAAAATGTAATGAAAGAATAAATCCAGACTGGCTGGATTTATCTTGGACGTAAATTACAAAGACAACTGAAAAAAACTATACTAAATGACTCTATGAGAAAGAATGAATAAATGGAGATTCATGCATGTCCTTGGAGAGGAAGACTCAATATTTTAAGAATAAAAGTTATAGTCATCCTTCCTTCCTCACCTTAGTGGATGTTTAAAACTGTGGAGAATACCAAACCCTACATATATATTTTCCTATACAAACATATCTGTGATAAAGTTTAATTTATAAATTAGGCATAGTAAGAGATTAGCAATACCTAATAATAAAATAGATCAATTGCAACAATATACTGTAATAAATGTGAATGTGGTCTTTTTCTCCCTCAAAATATGATAATCAATCTGATCACTGACCAAAATGGCTACTTTGACTAACAGGTGTGTACCCTATACAGCACATGTGTCAAACACAAGGCCCGCGGGCCAAATCCGTCCCGCCAGGCCTTGCAATGTGGCCCGCACCGCACTGTCATCACTGCACTCCGCTGCGTTCCATCACAATGACAGTTTATGACTGTTCAGTAAACCATTCGGCCCGCGATTTAGGCTGGATTTTAGATTTTGGCCCCTTCTCTGATTGAGTTCGACACCCCTACTATACAGTGAGGATACACTGGACAGAGAGATGGTCCATGCTAGGGTAGAACAGAGTGCCACAGTGTGAGATTTCTTCACGCTCCTCATAATACCCTGTTTCCCCGAAAATAAGACTGTGTCTTATATTAATTTTTTCTCCCAAAGCTGTGCTAGGTCTTATTTTCAGGGGATGTCTTATCTTTCCATGCGCTAGGTCTTATCTTCGGAGGAGGTCTTATTTTCAGGGAAACAGGGTAGTGTCCACTTTAAAATTTATGAATTGTATATTTTGGAATTTTTCTTTTAAAATATTTTTTCCAGTCTGGCTAGCGTGGCTCAGTGGCTGAGTGTCGACCTATGAGCCAGAAGTTCATGGTTTGATTCCCAGTCAGGGCACATGCCCGGTTGTGGGCTTGATCCTCAGTGAAAGACAGGCAGGAGGCAGCTGATCACTGATTCTCTCTCATCATTGATGTTTTTTTTTTCTCTCTCTCTCTCCCTTCCTCTCTGAAATCAATAAAAATGTATATTTTAAAAAATTGGTTTCCATACCATGGTTGACTGTAGGGAGCTAAAAACTTAGAAAGCAAAACGGTGGATAGCTGGGGAAGGGTGAGACTGTGTTTTCCAAATTAGTTTATAAATTCAGTTTAATTCCTATAAAATTTGCAATTAGACTATTTTCTTGCAACTGGCCAAAGGATCTGAAATCACGTGAAAAGAAAATATACAAGAAGGTTTTGAAGGAAAAAAAAAGAATAAAGAAGGGAAAATTAGCATACCAGATATGAACACATGCTACAGTGTCATAGTAACTAGCCCAGTGGGGTACTGACCATGGAAGAAGCTAGTAGATTAGTAACATCAAACTGAAAATCTGGAACCAAATAAAATACAGTGAGTGTTTAAGACACAGTGACATTTCAACATAATGGAGAAAGGATAATCTATTCAATAGAAATAACTGAGAGACTGGAACATCTATCCACTAGGGGGGAAAAAAATAAAATTAGATAAAATTAGGTATCATTTCAGATCAAGGAAATAAAATTTCAGCCAGACTAAAGCATGTAATAACCCAATCGACAAAAATGTGACCAATTAAGAAGCATATCTTTCTGTCATAGGTCTGGAAAGTCCTCCTTAAGCAAGAAACAAGGCTCGGCCGAAGCCGGTTTGGCTCAGTGGTAGAGCGTCGGTCTGCGGACTGAAAGGTCCCGGGTTCGATTCCGGTCAAGGGCATGTATAATACATTGGTTGCCGGCACATCCCCGGTAGGGGGTGTGCAGGAGGCAGCTGGTTAATGTTTCTCTCTCATCAACATTTCTAGCTCTCTATCTCTCTCCCTTCCTCTCTGTAAAAAATCAATAAAATATATTTTAAAAAAAAGAAAGAAAGAAACAAGGCTCGGGACTGTGGAAAGAGGAAGCCTGAGGGTTTGACTGCACAAGAGTTACGGCATCTTGGAAATACACTTACAACATGTGTACCAAATGCAGGGTTACTATCCTTCAAACAATAAGGCAGACAACAACGGGGCTAGAAAAATAAGCATGAAAAGAGACAAATAAAAAGGTAATAACCAGAATAAAAACAAATTGTCAACAAACATCTGGGAAAATGCCCTGAGGCACTAGCAACATGGAAAAATGCACATTAAAGCATCGAGCAACTGTTACCCCTTCCCCCCAAAGACTGTCCACAATTATTCACAGAACTCTCTCTCTCTAGTCGAGTCTTTTGTGATGAGGGAAAACGGGGGCATATAAACAGCCAATACTCTCAGGATAGCTAGAGCACATGTGCATCCATGTGCAGAATACAACAGAGCCATGAGAAGGGAGGAGCTTGGTTTAGGTTTCCTCTCCCGACTCATGCCTTTATGCCCAAGTCGCCGCCACCTCTTCCCTGTGCCTTGTCCCAAGGGCACTCACCATTATGGAACCAACCACAGGGCCTTTGATCACCCACCACAGAGGAGTGCTGTCATTCATATCCCAGCAGCTGAGAGACAGAGAGAAGCGAGGTTATGCACAGGGACAGGGCCCCTGCAGGACTATGTCTCCAGCCCTGGCTGTTGCTTCGCCGGCAGCTCCCCAAGGAGGGGCAGCTGGAAGGAGAGGTCTCGGATGCTGCGGGCCTTCCCTCAGCAGGGATTGCAGCCGAGAGTTAGGGTCACCACAGGGCTCCTGGGCAAGGGCCACCTTCCCCCTTCACACCTAGGACTCTTGGGGTGGGGGTGAGCTTCCCCTTCTTTCTTCCTCCCCGCCCTGAAAGGAAACAGATGCTCAGCTCTGGCCCAGGAGCAGAGCGGGGCTCTGAGCCATGCTCCTTCCCGCTGCCTTCTGGCCGAGGTATGGCTGAGTGGGCCCGCCTGTGGGCAGCGCAGGGCGCACTGGGTGCCCTGCCAGGTATCATTTGTCTGGGGCCGGTAAAGCGGGGTCAGGGCCCCATGGAGAGCCTGCACAGAAAGCCAGCCCGGCTCTCGGGCACGCACTCACCCTGTGTTGTCAAAGTAGAGCCTCAGCGCAGCCCACACCGACACACAGATGGTTGGGGACCCTGCGAGAGCAACGAGAGGAGCCCCGTGGTAACAGGGACGCCAACGGGCCCAGGGTCCCCCTCAGACTTGGGGCTCCCTGCGGCTGTCATCCCCACTCAGACACGGGGTTCTGACCCACAGGCACAGGCACGGCTCCCTCTCAGACCTGGAGCTTTGGGGAAACGAACTGTCCTTTATACCCTGAGGCCCAGGTCTCCCCCAGACCATGGGCTAGCTCACCTTACAGAGTATGTCCTCTCAGAAGGTGGGCTTTCTGAGGGCAGGAAGAGCAAGAAAGGGTGCGAGCCGCAGGTGTGTGGCATCGGGGCAAGTGGGGAGGAGACAGGGAAGTTCCTCGTCTGGTCTGACACTCCCCCACGGGGCCCCCGAGAACATGCCTGGCCCCGAGGCCACAGCAGACCTACCCCAGCCAACCATGGTGTACCAGTAGAAGTATCTCCTCTCAGGGAAGAAGGTCTCCACCAGCAGGGTGAAGAGGTACAGGCCCTCGATGAACAGCCAGAAGTAGTTGGACACGACGCAGTAGTGAAAGAAAACCATTATGGCCTTGCACTCCACCTGCCGAGAGGGGGTGGGGGGGCGGAGAGGGAGGGCGACATGAGTCCCCATCCCCTGCCCCGCCGAGCCCTGAGATCCAGCCTCGGGAGCAGGGAGAATTCCTGGGCCCTTCCGCTCTGGTCTGCTCAGGCTCATACCCCATGTGTCAGAAACACTCAACATTCCTGGCTTCCAAGAGTTTAAAGTTGCAGCAGCCCATGACTCAGAGTCGAAGCTACCCACGGAGTCAACACTGCCCATGTCAGCAAAGGATGGGGTGGCGGTGAGCATGGAGCCCCCTCCCCAGGCTCATTGCCCCATCTTCCTACCCCCTCCCAAGCCCCACAGGCTAGGTGAGTAGGCAGGTCCCTGCGGGAGGCCCCTTGATCGAATGAGAGCTTTAGACATCACAGGGCTAAAGGAGGTACCCCTGCACCCCCCCCCACCGAAATCTCACAGAGGCCTGCTCTAAGTGTGCCTCCCAGGCCATCCAAACCCATCTTCTCTGCTGACCTGTGGTCTGAGGTCGGGAGAGGTGGTCTAGGAAGACGCCGGCCCACAGCCCTTGGGCTCCGTCCCGGGCAGGCGGTAACCAGCCCAGGGAAGCCCTCTGTGAGCCTGTGTGCACCCTAGCCAAGTGGGACCCGGCCTTTCCACCCGATCTCCGACTGCCCTGCTGAGTGCACGCGGGTGCCGAGGGCCAGGCAGTGGCCTCAGGCAGGGGAGTCCCAGGCTCCCGGTGGCCTGGTGATCTCTCCCGGATGTCCCTGTGTGCCTGGACCGTGTGTTAACCTGCGGGAGAGCCCCGGACCCTGGCCATCCGGGCGGCCCCCAGCCGGGCACTCACGGTGGAGATGAAGCAGTGGTTGTTGTCCTGCTCCTCGTACAGGATCCAGTCCTTGATGAAGACGGAGATGGCCCTCAGCATGAAGGACGCGAACAGGTTCATGTGGATGAAGTTGCGGGTGCAGTGCAGCTTCCTGCCCAGCGAGGGAGAGGCCTTGAGGCGGGTAACCCACAGCCCAGCGGCAGCACCGCACTCGGGGCTGCTATGGGCCCCCCCAAACCCCCTCCCTCCTGCTAAGTGGCAGGCCCCCATGCCCCAGCCCATGACCCCTCCATGTGGACCAGGAAGGCTCAAGCGAGGCAAATAGGTCTCCTCCCTGGACAGGCCAGCTGCCCTCTCTGGTCTCATGTTTCCCATCCTTCATCCTGGGAGTGGGGTTGGCCCCTGCCCACCAGCTCCAGGGCTGACGTCCAGCGGGCGTGGCAAGGGCTCTGAGCTTGGGTGGGCACGCTCACTGGAGCTCACTGGATCAGTGCCGGAGAGCTTACCGGAAGCGACACAAGATGACCATGGCCGTGGTGAGGGAGACGAGGGACGTGCTGTAGCCGACTGTGTACAGGGCCTTCACCGACATGTAGTAGAAATTCTGGGGGAGGGCACAGGATGGGGGGGCTCCATGTGGGGTCTGCCGGCCCCAGGCCAAGTCTCTCGGTCTCCCACCTCTGGGCCCCCCTTCCTCCCTCTTCTGGCTGATCTCACCTCCTCCCTGCTCAGTGCCTCTACCTCTGAGACCTCCCCAAGCCCCCATCCCCCACTGAGTGCTTCCTCCCCTCTGTGGTGTGTCTGCTCTTGTCAGATGCTCCATAAACGCTTGCTGAGCGCAGGAGCTCTGAGCAATCCAGCCACCCCTTAGCCTGGAAAAGGGTCCAGGAGGCCCCCTGCCAGGCCTACCAACGACCCTCCTGCTGCTGGACCTCCGTGCACCCGGACACAGTAGGTGCTCATGCATGGTGCCTGGGGACCAGAGATGCCCATCATCCCACCAGAAGTCACAGCTTCTGCTGGGAACACCCTTCCACCCGCCTCAATGCCACTCCCACTCACTATCTCTGGGCTGGGGGGAGGGGGGGGCAGGGGGGGAAGACACAGACACTCACCTGGTCCCCAGACTCAGATTCATTATATTCATCAAACCCACAAGCTTCGAAATAGTGAGGGAAGGGCTCCGACCAGCCGTCCTTCGTGCAGTTCCGGCTCACCACCCTCATGCCTGCGGGGAAGAACGCAGGCACAGAGATGACCTAAGAGGCCCTGAAATCCTTATTCGAAAGTCACTCCACACGCAGGGGGTCCTGGGAAGCATGGCCACGCAGGTTCCCGAAACCCTCCACTGTCTGCTGGGGGTGGGGGGTAGATTAGTGACTGTGGGTGACCTCAAGCTGGGCCTTTACAAAGGGCGTGGGGATCGGGGGAGGTGCAAGCTGCTCTCTTAACAAGGGAGAGGGGGCTGGCCTGGTGGGAAGACTGGCCTCCAGGGTGCCCGGGTTCTGAGCCCTGTGACCCAGGGCAGGGGGACGTCCAGGCCCAGAGAGAGAATCGCTTCCGCTCACAACTCCAAGGCAACGGCTCCTGCTCCAGCACACCCAGCTCAGCGGCTACTGGCGGGCTCCTCCCAAGCCCCCCTGACCCTCTCTTCAGAGAGTCCGCGTGTCCATGGGACCATGGCCTTGGCACTTTCCTCCTTGCCCAGGCCTCATCGCCTCTCCGCTCTGCCCACATGTCAGAGTGGTGGGAAGAAGAAAGGGAAGTTGCTTCAAAAAACCATTTTTTAAAAAGTGTCCTGGAGGTGCACGCTCTTTCCTTCCTCTTATTCCCCTTCTTTACGTTTCCTGTGAATAACACAGCGTGGGCCCAGAACAGCATAAGCTTCTCCGTTCCGAACGCTGCCACGAACTGGCCACTCGGTTGCACTGCCCTCCAGACGGTCAGCACTACAGCGACTGCCCCGGTGACTGCACCTGGCTCTCCCCCGACCCCACCCACCCCCAGCGATTCCACAGAGCACAGGACCTCCGGGCCCAGCTTCTCCACGTGGGCACCTCCCCAGACCAGCCCATCAGCATCACCTGGGAGACTGCCTGGACATGCACCTTCTCAGGCCCCACCCCAGGCCCTACCCCAGGCCACACCCCACGGGGTTAGTGACTGGGCGGGGGCCCAGGAATCTGGGTTTTCACAAGCCCACTGGGGGTAGTGGCCACCACTCTACACATGGGAGTTCCAAGCTGTCAGGGGCCCCCTAATCCAGGAGGTTTTTATTTGGAGTCCACGATGAGGCTCCCCTAACATCTGTTTGGCACTTGAAGACAAATGTCCACGGAGAAGATCCACAGCTTATCAGAGAAGGAAAAGGAACTGCCAGAGCCACCCAGCCACAGAGAGGCAAGGCCAGGCCTGCTAGAGGGGTCCCCTGGCTCACACGTCAGCAGATGCCCCACCTCTAGCCAGCAGGTGGTTGGTCCCAACTCACCTGCCAAGTCCAAGGAGTTAATGTCTTCAAAACCAAACTCTCCTGCAAAACACAGATGTGGACATGAGTCAGAACACCGGCCACTGCTTGCCGGGGCTGCCCACTGCCGGCCCTCCACGCAGGAAGGCCGAGCTCCCCTGGTCTGGAGGACGAGGTGCGGGGTGTCAGCCAGGAGGCAGCCCCGCACCGCACCCACATCTTCCTGCACACGCTGCACATCCCATCGGCAATCCCATTTGCTCTGTGTTTCTGCCATCTAATGATGCCGGTGACTCAGTCCTCCCTGGCCCACAGGAAGTGGAAGTGGGACATTGTCATTGGTGAGAGGGCCTCCCCCAGAGTGGGAGAGGAAGGAGAGGGGGTGATTGGCTTTTTTCAAGGACAAGGCAAGGAACAGCCACCCACGTCCTGGGTTTCCTCTTTGGTGCTCACCCCTCCAAGCCACTCTCAGCAACGGGAACCCAGAACTTCAAAGCCCTGATCCTCAGACCTTTTTCTCCTTCTCTCCCGACTCTGTCTTCCCACCTCCACCCATGCTGACTCCCCTACTAGCAACATATCTCCATTTCCCCTGTGCTTCTCCAAATCCTGTTCCCAAGGTCCAGCTGACATGCCACCTCCTCCAGAACGGCTCCCTAGATCTTTAGATTGTTCTGCCCGCATATGGCATCCTGGGTCTCTTTGGTTCTGGAACTTTCTGTGCATTCCAACTCTACAGCCACTTGGGGATGTCAGTACCAGTGTGGGCGCACTCACACACTCAGGCCTGCACATATGTGTGTGGCATGCTTATTAAACCCTCCACGAGTGAGTCTCGGCCCCCCAAACAAGCCCATGAGCACCCTGAGGCCAAGGGCTGCATCTTCCATCTTCCTGTGTCCCCCGACCCCACCTCGAGGATGGCCAAAGGGGAAGAGGCGGTGGGGAGAACCTGGTCCCTGATAAGCCTCTCATGCCACCCCCACCCGTTCCCAGCAGTCAGAGCCAGGCTCCAGCTGGATGGGCAGATGGACAGATTATCAAGCTGGGTGGGCAGATGGACAGATGAGCAGCAGCCTGTCCTCTCCAGGGCTCCTCTTACCGATGGTTTCTGTCTCCCAGACTGAAACAGAGAAAGGGAGAGAGCGCAGAGGTGAGCGAGGGCTGAAGTAGGGTCTGCTCTCTCTGGGACCCAATTCCTCCCCCTCCTTCTTCCCCACCTCATCCCCAAAAGCTGGAGCGAGGGTCTGCTGGGGCCCAGCGCCATGAGGACTGCAAGTTGGGGGCCCGCCGGACACCGGAGACATCTCTCTCTCCCTCGGGAACAGGACACAGTCAGAGAAATGCGCAGAGGCGTCTGAGAGCACAGCGTTCTCACGCCACAACCACCCCATGAACGCCAGGGGCGGCCCTGGGAACCCCGAGCTAACAGGGGAAGTGCCATTCTCAACTTTCCACATCCCTGGCTGAGAGTCTCACTCATTCTCACTCATTCAGCTGTTCGAACGGAGGTGCTAAGAGGCCTGCCTTAATGAGCTTTTAAGTGTCAGGTGAAAATAACACACTCCTGGTGCCACTGCCAGGGGGAGGGGTGCCGCCCAAAGGAAAGTTTATCTCAAGAAGATCTCATTTCACTGCCGATTCCCTTCACCTTATTTTTAAAAAATATATTTCTTTATTGATTTCAGAGAGGAAGGGAGAAGGAGAGATAGAAACATCAATGATGAGAGAGACTCATCAATCAGCCTCCTGCACGCCCCCCAATGGGGACTGAGCCTGCAACCCAGGCATGTGCCCTTGGCCGGAATTGAACCTGGAACCCTTCAGCCTGGAAGCTGATGCTCTATCCACTGAGCCAAGCCGGCTAGGGCTCACTTTGCCTTATTTTTATTGTTGGAAAGAAGCAGTCTTGCCATGATGCTTGACCCAAAGAAGACGGTCCATAAGCTTGAAGCAGACGAATGAAGGACAGGAGTCTGTGAGCGGAGGGTGTGACTGACCTGGCTTCCAGAGGAAGGAACTAGAGATCGGGCTGCATCGAGGGGCTGCCACATGCCTGACGTCCCACCACTCACACTGCCCGTCCCTCCTCTGCTCCTCTTCCGAAACTCACCCCCTGTCCTGTTCTAGACAGCACGTGGTCACGCCCAGTCCCGAGGTGTCAGGATGGGACAGTTTGTCTGCCTCCCTCCTGGGCTGGCAGGAGGTCTGGAGGTAGGGGGTGTGGCTAACAGGCCCCAGGAGGAGAAGCCGGGGAAGGGAGAGGCGAGGTGGGGGTACTACAGCTGCACTCTGCCTTCTCTGGTTTTAGATGGAACTCTGAGACACAGGCCTGGCACCCCAACAGGCTGCCACCGTCTCCACAGGCACCTGCCATCCAGGCAGAGTCAAGGTTGGCAGGATTCCAGGAAAATCAGACTTTGCCTCTATCTGGGGCAGGACAGGGGACGGGCGGGCAGGACTCTGTAGTGGACTGGGGTCTGGGAACCCTAATTCTAGGACATCAACCAAAGCCTCAGGTGAAGGAGGAAGCGAGGCCCAGGCCTCAAGTGACCTGTGCATGACCACACCCGTGACTCAGACCCTCCTACCCAAGAGGCCCCCAGCCCATGGTTTAGCAGTCAGCACCGGCTGGCACCTTCTCAGAAAACCACTCGCCTGGAGCCCTGCCCCCAGCAGTGCCCTCAGCTCACCCTGGACACTCACAGGGGTGTGGTGCAGGGCCGGGGCCTGGCTCTAGGCTCTTCCCCGGGTCTCAGTGATCTGGCCAGACACCAACTTTCTTTGGGAGCCCACAGGCCTTAAGGGAAGGCAGAAAGAGTCTCACTCCCAAAGGAGAGATGCGGTGTCAGGCCGCTCCCCACAGAGATGTGGTCACCACGGCCTGGGGCCTGCAGAGAGCCCGCTGCCTCCTCCCCGCCCACCGCCGCCCTATAACCTGAGTCACAGGGCCCATCCCTGCCCACCCCCAGGGTCTCCCACATCAGCTGGGGGTCCTGGGTAGCTCCAGGGCGCTGCAGTAGCCCCCCCTCCCCACACACACACACACACACACTCACACCTGAACAGACATGCCACAGGCTGAGCTCCTTACGACATTGCACCCATCCAGCCTCTCCCATCAGGGAGGGAGCCATCAGACACCCAGGCTGGCATCTGCAAGCCACCGGCTCCCGTGTGCCCATGTCCTCCCCCAGGCAGCCTCAGTTCCTCCTCTCCTGAGCCCGCATCGCTGCCCATAGTCAGCGAGGACCGAGAACACACTCTGCTTAATGCACACGAGTGACGGTGAGGCCGAGGCCTGTGCCTGGATCTGAGTGGTGTGGGCGTGTGTGGATGCAGGCGAGTGGGGGAGCGTCGTGTCCACTGCCTGAGGGTGTCGCCCTGTGTCTCTGGGCCTCTCCGTGTCTCCAGAGGAGTGATGATGGCAGTAACGTAAGTTAACAACTACCACTGAGTATTAAAATGTGCCCAGTCCCGCCCCAAGTGACTCCCCCGTGTATTGCTGAGTGCCCCGTGGCTCACCACATTCCTATTTGACAGATTAGGGACCCAAGGGACAGAGGGGTGAGGGCCTTGTGCCCAAGGCCCGCAGCAGGGCGAGTGACAGAGGCTGTGTGTGAGCCCAGCTGTGCCCGCCCATGATGACACACCCCACATGGACCGGGCAACCATGTCTGAGGGAAGCCTGTGTGCCCCCGTGTGTCGGGGGCGTGTGGTTCCATCCCCGCACCCCTGGGGACAGCTGTCAGCCTGAAGGGCAGCGGTGCTTGTATCCCAGGGCGGTCTGGGGCCTGTGCGGGGAGCAGGCAGGGCTGAGCATGGCAGGAAGCGGCCCAGGCGGAACCCACCTTGGTCCGGATCGAAGATCTGGAAGAACTTGGGGCAGCTGACCAGGACTATCTCGCCTACGCGGGCGGGCTTCCAGCACGTGATGTTGTCCCACATCCCTGGGCAGCCTGTGGGGAAGAGAGCCATGAGCCAGGCCCTGGTGGCGAGCACCTCAGCGGGCGGGTCCCCTCAGTTCCCTGGACGGCCCCTAGGCCCAGCTTCATGGACATGGGGGAGGCCATGGATGAGAGTCCACCAGGAAACCACGACGAGGAGGAAGGCACCCTGTGGACTTAGTTTACTCGGGGTGGTGGGGGAAGTTCCCATAATGACCATGACCCATCAGGACAGAGAGACGGAGAAGGAGGAGGGGGAAGTGACAGCAGAGCATGGAGTGTTGGGAGAGGGTCTGCATGTTGCAGAGGAGTCTATACACACGGTACAGAGAGGGCCACTCTGCCAGGTAAGGCACAGCCAGTGGAACTGACCTCCTCCCCACTCCCACCTCTCACCCCCCCCCCCCCACCACCCCCCCCCACCACCACCACCACCCCCGGGGCTGCTGGAGGTGTAATGAGTTCACACAGTAAAGCTCACTCTGTGCACGCCCCCTGCTGTTATCATCAATAGCTTCCCGTCAATTAGGTGTCCCTGAAAAGCATTCCCTGGGAGAGGGGGCAGGGACACAGACCAGAGGCCTGCAAGGGGCTAGGGCCAGCGGAGGGCCGCCAACAGGTCACGGAGGAAGCCTGGGCAGAGAGGGGCCTGGCGGGCTGCGTGAGCTCTGCTGGGTGCTGCGTGGACCAGAAGTGGTCTCTCTCAGAACTGAGACCCGGCTACTTTGGAATTCATCCCCCATCACAATGACCTATAGCATCCTGCTCCCTGACTGACCCAGTCTAGAAGCTGGAAACACCATCGAAAGCTCAGAGGGCTGGCATGGCTCAGTGGGCTGAGCATTGTCTCAGGCACCAGAGGGTCGCCAGTTCGATTCCCAGTCAGGGCATATGCCCGGGTTGCGGGGTTTCTGGCTCAGTCCCTGGTAGAGAACACACAGGAGGCAGCTGACCAACATTTGACTCTCAGATGATGTTTTTCTCTCTCTAAAATCAATAAAGCATATATTTTTTTAAAAGAAGAAAGAAAGTTCTGAGGACCACAAACCAAGAAGGCAAGGTCACAGAGCATGGTCACGTCCAGCCCATGTCCCAGGTGCCCATTAACAGATGTTCCCTTATCATGAACAGCGGGCCCTGGCACAGCCAGCTGCCACTGCCAGCTGACGTCCCTGAGGCCCCGGGCACTTCAGACGGAGGTGAGCAGTCACAAGGTCGGCAGAACGGCGAGGGGCGCGGGGCTCCGGTGAGGATGGCACAGGGAAGAAGGGGCTCACAGGGTGAGGTCCCAGGCTGGAGGCAGGGCAGCGATTCATTCTCTTGGCTGTTTTCTGAGCTCCCGCCATGGGCCAGGGCTACAGACGTGGAGAAGACACTTGGGAAGCTTGCATCTGAGGGCCGAGGGGGAGAGAGCGGGGTGTCCCTCAGCCCGCACGTCGGCCACGAGACTGGCGTTGTGTCTACTGCAGCCCAGGGCTCACTGCGTGACTCTGGTAAGTCTCTACTCTCCACCCTGACTCAGTTTCCCTGTGTGCGCACTGAGGGCTGAGCGTCTCCGAGGGTACTCCCGACTCGAAGCAACTAGAGCTCCAATCAGGAACGGAGATCTCACTCGCGATCTGCCAATGCCCAGAAGCTGGGGCGCCTCTCCGGACCCAACGCCAGGACCGGTGTCTCCTAAGACACATCGGCCAGGACTTCCAATAGGCCGTGAGATGAAGGTGTGGAGTGCGGAGGGGCAGTGGAAAGGAGGGAGAGCAGGGGGTGTCAGCACCGGGATGCTATAGTATGAGGGGCCGTGGACCTGGCTGATATGTCTCGGGAGAAGGCATAGATTTGAGAAGAAGAGAGAATAGGGCCTGGCCCCAACAACACAAGGCATGCCAACCGCAGAAGGGCAGTTGGTGGGGAGGAGTTGGAGGGGAGGCCAGAGGCAGGGGGAAGACAGGAGAGGTGAGTGACAGCGGCCAGGAACCGGGAGATGGTCCAGTGCATCCGCCACCGCTGAGAGGCTGGGAACGTCCCCTCCTCTCCTCACCCCTGCAGAGCAGGTCCCTCCAGGGGGGGACACCCCACCTCCCTATTCCTCTCCCGCGATAGCCCAACTCTACCCTGACTGTCTGTGCGCTCCTGGCTCTGCCTCTGCCTCTGCCCCTCCCCTACAAGCCGCTATGGAACATGGTCAGAGGGATGCAAGCCGGGGGGAAGGGGGGGGGATGCCTGGGTGGTGAGAGATGGGGCGGCTCCCCCTCTGCCACCCACACAAAGCAGAAGGAGAGGCCGCGCCGTGTGACAACAGCGGGAGGGAAGGACCACTCGGGCAGGCTGAACAGAGAGGATGCGGGAGCCATTAGCCTCAATTGGAACAGAACAAGGCGCTCATCTCCGGTTGTCATGGTGACGATTCTGTCCAGCTCCACAGAGTGTTCAAAACCGCGAGAGCAGGGGCACCGCGGGGGGCTCACACAGGCACAGTGGTCCCTTTGAGACGCCGCCGCCGAAGATGCGTGGGTACACCGAGCCCCCCGTTTCAGCACACAGTTCGGGGGTAACACGTGATTTCAATCGACTGAAAGTTATTTTTCCCCTCGAGCTCAGCGGCTCTCAACCTGGGGACCCCAGGCCAGAAACACCAGTGGGAACTCGACAGAATGCAGGTGCCCAGGCCCCACCAGACCCACCGAGTCAGGAACTCTGGTGCCAGGCCTGGCCATCTGTGTTTTAACAAGCCTTCCAGAAGATTCTGATGCAGGCTCAAGTCAGATTTGGGGGGCGAGGGGGTCCCTGCAGACCCCACGCTGGGCGCCTGCTTAGTCTCACAGCAGCTGGGAGGTGCAGGCAAGAGGGTGATTCTGCTCCAAGGATGGGAGCCTGGGCCCAGCCCTCCTGTGTTCCCTCCCCAGGCCTCTCCTCTCCTGGGGGGTGTGGGGAGTGGCTGGGCCCAGACACTGTGCACCCTGCCTGGCCTCTGAGGCCGGGTCAGCATATCAGTGGGCAGGCTCTTGTCTTCTGTACAAGCCCCCTTCCTCTGCCCCTGCCAGGGCCACTGCAGGCACCCCTCTTCCATCTCCTCTGGAGTCTGGGGGCTCCCAAGGACCACACCTGACTGACCCTGCTCAAACGCAGGCCAGGCCTCCAGGCTGACGGGAGCCTGCCGCCCTGCAAAGGGGAGGCTCTGGCCAGACTCACGTGGGGCAGCCAGGCTTCCTGGGCAGAGCAGAGACCAGCAGGCAAGGCCCGTGACCTGCGTGGGTCTGGGACCTCGGGAGTGGAGAGCCCGCTTCCCACGCCCAGGGATCCTTTTTCCTTCTCTCTGGCCCAGGGCACGGCAGCACAAAGGGCACCCCTGGCCGGGGCCGCAGCCCTGGGGCCTATCCCAGAGCTGGCTTGGGCCCTCGGTGCAACTTGGCCGGGGACTGCGACCTCTGGCTTCAGCATCTCGGAGTGTCACGTGACAGAGCTGGACTCCATGCTGTCTCCAGTCTCACTTAGCGTTCGGAGGTTTGGGATGAGGGACAAAACCACTAAACACAGCTCTGCAGTAACGGTCCCAGCAAACACCTTCAGGACAGGCCGAGGACGGTGCAGACGGAAGCGCCGGGCCAGGGGGCGTGTTCTCGCTCCCCACCACCTGGCTGGTCCATCCTCCTCCTTCACCTGTCTGCTCGGCTCCCATGCCTCCCGGCATGACCCTGTCCTCAGCGTCCCCCTGGAGGCCACGATGCCCATGACCACCTGGAGTTCTGCCGAGGTCCCGGGACCAGGGAGGGACCAGGATTTAAGGGGTGCAAGTGTAATAATGACAGGAGTAATAATATTAATAGATCCCGCTAGGTAGCTGCAATGGGAGAAGCAGCACTGGTCCAGTGCCTGGCACACGGGAAACCTATGTAGGTATTGGCTGATATGGTTCGTTCCAGCTGCTCATTTTAACAGTGGAGCTTCTGAGGCATAGAGCAGGAAAGAGCCCTCCCCCCTCCACCTCGCTGCTTTGGTGCCCCCACCGAGGACACTCTCCCCACCCACCCACCCGGCCCTCAGCTCTCACCTGCTGTCAGGGCCTACCCTAGGACCTAACTCAGCGGTTCTCAGACCAGCCGCCCATCAGCCTGGAGGCTTGGCCTGCATTTAAAACCACTAAACACAACTCTTGAATAAGGGTCACCATAAACATCGTTAGAACATGCTGAGGTGACTGTGAGGGCCTATGGTTCTGGCTTGGACTATAGCGTGAGCACATTGTCCTAAAAGCTCCTGGTGGCTCTGATGGGCAGCGAGGTTTGAGAACCTCGGACCCAGTATAAATCCCATCTTGTTCAGGAACCCTCCCAGAATTCCTCTCTTCCCTCTCCGGAGCACACCTGGGTGCAACCCTCTCCCCAGCACCTGCCTGCCCCCTCCTGGGAGGGTGTCCATCCTCACCTCTGTCTCACGCTCACGTCGCCCCTATGGGCTAGCCTTCTAGCCCTCCCCCAGCTGGGGCTCCACAAACATCTGTGCAGTAGCCCCGCCCCCACCTCTACCCTTCCCTCCTGGATGCTTCTTATGCTCCACCCACATGCCCCTGGCTCCTGTGATGCAAGAACAGCGGCCCCGAGCTAGGAGGCAGGACACCTGGGCTCCCGGACCACCTCATGGCCACATTTCCCATCCCCCAGACAGGAGCCTCGGACCAGATATTATGCTGGTCTCCTGCAACTGGGCACCTGTTTGGGGCCCCTGCCTCAGTTTTCCTGGCTGGTGAAGGCCTAGAATCCACTTCCAGCCTCGGTTAGGGCTGAGCCAGAGCTGGGCTGGAGGGCGGGTGAGTCCAGTATGGCCGGAGCGGCTCCATTAGCAGTTAATGTTCACTGTCTGGCCAGGGAGCTTGGCCTGGAGGGACCGTTACACATAACTGGGCTGCAGATTAATCGAGTATTTAAACAGATGGTGCTCAGAAGAGTTCCCTCTAAACAGGGAGGATCCGGAGGGAGAGGTGGGTCCTTCTAGGCTGGCCAGAGAGCCCCGCCCTCCAGGGACTGAGGTGTAAGTGAGGCTGGCCAGGCCTCCAGGGATGCCCCCGCCCCCCAAGTCCCTGGCCTTCCACACAGACCCTCGCCCTGGTTGCTGGGAATCCCGAAGTCCAGGGCGCCCTTTCCCTGTGGCCTCGGCGTCCTCTCTGCACAGCGAGGGAGTCAGGAGGAGGGGGCCACACAGGACCCCGGGTTCTCTGCCAGGGCCACACCACTGCCTGGGAACATCTGGAGATGTTACAAGGCATTCTGGGTTGTCACTGGGACCAGGGGAGCCGTGGTGTCTGAGGAAGCTAAGACTGCTAACTGTCCTGCAGTGCGGGGCCCCTCCCTCAGGGGACGCAGCGCCCCGCCCCAGGCTAAGAGCAGCCCTGGGGGAAGTACTGCCCAGACAGGCCGAGGCGGGTCCTCATTGCTGCCTCCTTTCTGGCTTCTGGCAGAGTGAGCACGGGAGGCAGAGGAGGTGGGAAGGGCCCCGCGCCTCCTGCTTGGGGTTGCCCATGTGCTCTCCAGCTCGGGCACCCGCAGCAGCTGTGTCCCTGCTGCCGCCAGGCCCAGGCCGCCTGCTAACAAGCTCTGACAGCCAACCCCAGCTCTAGCCCAGCCCCTGGGACCTAAGGCAGCCATACCCAGCCACCCAGAACAGCCCTCCCTCAGGGAGGTATCCCAAGCAGGCTGTCCCCAAGGAGGGCAGCCCAGGGCCACTGCCCGGAGCAGATCCAGGACTCCCCCGCCCCCCCCCGCCCCCCACAGGGCTCTCTGAAGGACCCGGGACCCGTCCCCTCCACCTTTCTTCCCAAGATGGCCTCAGGCGGGGGCACCCATTCTCACGGCTATGGATGTGTTGGGAGGCCATGTCCTCCCGCCAGCCTACTCACCCAGGGAGGAGGCGTTCAAGCCCATCTGCTCGTTGGCCTTCCGGATCTTCTCCAGGCACTGGGCCTGCTCCTGCTTGAACATGCAGTCCGAGTGCATGGCGGCCGCCTGCAGGGAGCGGGAGGGACGGTGGGAGGGGCAGCAAGGCTCACTAGAAGCCCTTTTCCTGAGCCCTGGGGCCAGGGTGGAGGGGCAGAAGCAGGATGAGGACAGTGATAGAGACTTCAGGGCCAGCAGGGATCCTGACATCCACTCTGTCACCGACACCATGAGGCTCTTCTTTGCCAACTCCATGTGTGCCCTTGGGTGGGTCCCACTCTGACCCTGGCTCTCAGGCTCCAAGTCTTATTAAAACAGCAGCAAACATACATACAGCACTTTACGACCTGCATGCGCTATTCTGTCATATACTATGTGTGTATACATGTACATCCAGAGGACTACAGATAGGTAGCTTTTTGCCATTTCTCTCATTCTACACATGTGAAACTTAAGTCCAGAGATGGTAAGTCACACAGCTTAGTAGACTGTATTTGGCCAGGATTTGGCCCCGGGCAGGGTAGCTCCAGGGGCCACAAGGTACTGCTGCACTACAGGGGGCCAGCAGGGCTGGGGGGAGGAGGGGCTGACCGCTCACTGTCTCTCTCCTCTGGGGGCTGGGAAAGGAGGTCCAGGCCAGGAGCAGCGGCAGCATTCAGTGGGCCTAGGAACCACTCCCATTTACTCTTGCCCCGTTTGACAGAAGAGGAAAACTGAGGCTCAGAGAAGTTAAGGAACTCCCGCCCAAGGTCCCACAGCTGCTTAGTGGCAGAGGCTGGATTCAAGCGCAGCAACAAGTAACTTCAAAGCCCTGGAGTGGCTGTCGCCTCTTAACTCCAATGTGGGGGCAGGAGCAGTTGTGTAAGGAGACGTCAGGAGCACGGAGGCAGGCACAAGGCATCTGAGCGCAAGGGCCATGCTCGGTCTAGCCCCGACTGGTCAGAGAGGTGCAGACGGCTTCCGGGGCGGGGACAGGCTGTCTGTGGCCACACGGTGAGGCAGGGCAGAGGCAGAACTCAGATCCAGGGCTCAGAGGCCGCTAGAGCCAGTGCTGGTGTGAAGTCCCAGCTCAGGGCGGGGGGCTAAGGCCTGGAGCCCTCCCACCGCCCTCGCTCTGGGAGAGACGTGAGCAGAGAGCAGGCTCCTGAGCTCTGACCTGGAGCAGGGGCCGGGGGTCAAAGAACCTTAGGCAGCCCGGCCGGGGTCCTGCACGGTACACATCCAGGATGCACAGCTCAGAAGGCTGCCCACGCCAGCATCGCGACACATTCGTACACTGTGCAAGGATTTCTGGCCACGTCGGTGGAAGGTCTTGAGGATGGGACACCCTTTCTAATTCACAGACGTGCTGGATGGTCCCGTGAGGGTGCTGGCAGAGATACCAGCTGAGGGCACGCCAAAGACGGGGTTCTCTGGGGTGGGGGCTCAGGGGAGCTGGGGGCTCCAGCTGGTGGGGTGGAGGGGAGCGGGGAGGGTATGGACCTGGGGCCTTACCAGAGGCAGCAGCAGGAGAGCAGCCAGGCAGGCCGGTAGGATGCTGGCCATGGCGCTTCTCAGCCACAAGGAGGCTCAGGCCAGCACCACTCGCTTCCCACTCAGAGCAGCCGCTGGTCAGCCCCAAAGAGCCTGGGGTTCGAGAGAAAGGAAAGGCATGAGTCCTGCGGACAGCCTGCCCTCCCCCCGACCGCCTCCCATTCCCACAACAAGGCTCTCAGCCCCCACGGAGAGCCCCTCAAGCCTTCGTCCAGGCTAGGGGTGTCGAACTCAATCAGAGAAGGGGCCAAAATCTAAAATCCAGCCTAAATCGCGGGCCGAATGGTTTACTGAACAGTCATAAACTGTCATTGTGATGGAAACGCAGCGGAGTGCAGTGATGACAGTGCGGTACGGGCCACATTGCAAGGCCTGGCGGGACGGATTTGGCCCGCGGGCCTTGTGTTTGACACATGTGATCCAGGCTGTTCTTTATTCTGTCCCCCAACCACCTGCTGAGCACCCCCGTCTGCTAGGCACAGGGGACAGGGTGGGAGCACCCGGTGCAGGCCCCCCTGGACCACTGCGATGTGTGGGCGGCCTTCTCCTCTGCGGCAGGCGCTGCCTCCCCATCCCCTCCTCAACGACAGCTTTAGCAGCCACACGTGTTCACGCCCGTCCCTCTGCTCAGGTGAGGGCCTGTGGACGTTCCCCCCTATGGAAGGAGCAGCAGTGACACGGGCCACTTGTCCATACGGCACCACACACTGTCCCCCTGCTCCTCTGCTCTTCCGGACGCCGGACCCGCCCGCTTTGACAGGGCAGCCAGGGTAACCCCTGAGCGGTGGGGGCACCACGCCGGGGAACCAGGACGCCTGGGGGAGCTCCAGGCTGCTACATGAGAAAGAAGCGCACCTCTAACTCGGTCCCTCAGGAAAGGCCGAGTGGTTCCAGCTGCCCCGCTGGTCTCCAAACCCCACAGCCTTCTGCACTGGCCTCTGCCAGCCCGCCCGCCCGCCTGCAGGGCCTCCTGGACACACAGTGGCTGCCGCCAAGGGAGCTGGGCCTCCCGTTGCCGGGACTCCCGGTCCTCCTGGACAGAGGCCCGCAGTGCGTGGGGAGTCGGGAGAAGAGGCTGGGGAGGCCGGCCAGTCGCAGGGGAGGAGTCTGGTTTGCCCCTCAAACTGGTCGTTAGCACAGAGTCCCATGGACCCAGGAACTCCGCTCCTGGAAGTCTATCCGGGAGAAGCGTTTGCACTTGAACAGAAGCTGGCACAGTGAGGTGACGCCCTGCAGCGCTGTGTACAGCGGCATCCCCACGAAGCCGGGGCCACAGGGCCTTCATCCCGCAGGCGCTGCTAACGGGCCCGGCACAGCCATACAATGCAACGCCGCACAGTCATGTAACAAGCATGCTTATTACTATTCAATCACAGAATGACCGAGTAGGCCCGCGTCAGGGTCACCCCGAGCCCGCAGGTGCCCGGTTCGGGAGGCCCATGCGGGCTACATCCAGACCACTAGCCTTGCACACCCCACTGGTGGGCAGAGCTGCTGTTAGCCTAGGGCCGTGGTCAGCAAACTGCGGCTCGGGAGCCACATGCAGCCTTTTGGCCCCTTGAGTGTGGGTGGCTCTTCCACAAAACACCACAGCCTGGGCGAGTCTATTTTGAAGAAGTGGTGTTAGAGGAAGTTTAGGTTTAAAAAAATTCGGCTCTCAGAAGAAATTCCAATCGTCGTACTGTTGATATTTGGCTCTGTGGACTAATGAGTTCGCCGACCACTGCCCTAGGGCCATTGTGCCCAGGTTCTTGGCCCATCCATGCCTCCCTCCTCCCTTCCTCCCTCTCTCTGCCCCTCCAAGCTGCCCTCAGCCTCTCCGAGCTAAATTGGGGGACAAACAAGCACCCAGAGCAGTGAAAGAAAAGTAGCCACAGGCAGGCTCCAGGAAAGGGGCCGTCTTAGCCCCCTGCTGCTCTGCCTGCGTAGGGCTCACTCAAAGATGCTCAGGGAGGCCTTGGTACGCCCAAGAGATGCTCTGAGAAGCCCAGTGGCTATGGGGGTGCCGGCCCAGCCTCTGCCCTGTGGTTCAGGAAAGACTCCCCTGGGTGCCAGCTGTGCACAGGGCTCTCCCATGCCTGCTGGCACAGGCTGCCTCTGGATGACCTGGCACTAGCGGTCCCCGGAGGCTCAGTCACCTCCACTATCCCTGGGGAGCTCCAGGCCCTGTCCGCCATGCCTGGCGGGACCCCGGGAATGCTGGCCCCGCTCAGCACATGCAGGAGGCTGGCTCTCCCCGCCAGCAGAGGGCTCCAAGGAGAACCACAGGCAGTCTCTGAGACCTGGAGCTGACTCTCCCGCACGGAGGCCAAAGGATGGTGAGGTGCAGTCAGGAAGGCCTCCATGCCTACCTCTGTCAGCCCCTCTAGCCCGGAGGCCACAGCCTGGGCCGACTCTGGCCCCAAGATGCGCTCTGACCTATTAGCCCTGTGCTCTACCTGCCCTCTCACCACCCCCCACCCCCCGAACCACTGAGGTGTGTTCAAAATACCCCTGACCGGCTGAGCGGGGCGCTCTGGGGCCTGGATGGGTGTCAGGCTGATTACAGCTCTCCAGGCGACTCTCACGTAGAGCAGAACCATGAACCTGCTTAACCTCCATCAGCACCAAGAGAGCTAGCCCCGAAGGGAGAGCGGCTTCCTTGGCTCTGGCTGCTCTACAGGGCAAGCAGGTGGCAGCCGGCAAGCAAGGGGTTAGTGTACTGAGGACTGGCTGATGCCGAATTTTCTCTCTCTCTCTCTCTCTCTCTCTCTCTCTCTCTCTCTCTCTCACACACACACACACACACACACACACACACATACACACACACACAGGTCCACAGAGAAGATCATAAAGACATTTATCCCCAGGGCACCCACTTGAAAGCATCAATACAAAATACAAACAGCCCTGCGTGGAATACACAAAGGAGAGGAGGAGGTGCCTTCGGGGCTGACAGACCACCACACACACACACACACACACACACTCATACACACACACACACACTCATACACACACACACACACACACTCATACACACACACACACTCTCACACACACACACAAACACACACACACACACACTCTCTCTCTCTCTCATTCTCATTCTCTCTCTCTCTCTCATCCCAGCAATGCAGCAGCACGCTCCCCCGACCAAGAACAAAGCTGTGTGCCGATGCAATCGCACCGGTGTGTGTATCCGACAGGTGACATGTATCATAACACACACTTCACACACTCACTGCGCAAAGGCACTCTGCTCTGCAGAGGCAGCACGATCTGTTTGGATTCTGATGGAGGAGTGACACACGCAGTCATTGCACTCCAGGCCTGTGCGCGTGCGCGCACACACACTCACGCACACACACACACACACACACACACACACACACACACACACACACACACACACACACACACACACACACACGTTCCCGTGGGGATGAGGACAGGCAGGTGCTCACCTTGCTCCTGTCAGGGCACCCCGCAGCCAGCACTGCAGTGGATTGACACACGCTGGGACCCACTCTTCCCAGCAGCCTGCTTCGTCACCCGGCTGCCCAGGCCCCGGGGTGAGCCAGGAGCAGGTGTGGCTGGAGCTCAGGGTCACAGGGTGGGCAGGTGGGACCCTCTCAACACGAGCCTGCTGGGGAACCAGACCTGGCCAGGTTCCCGGTTCCCACTACGGTCCCCTCTCTCTTCCTTTTATTGAGATGTAATTGCTAAGGAACATTATATTAGCTTCAAGCCTACCACATCATGATTCAATAGCTACAGACTGCGAGTGATTGCCACAGAAGCCTGGTAAACATCCATCACCTAGTTACACAATTTTTTTCCTGGTGATGCCAACATTCATGATCGATTCTCTTAGCCCACTGCTGTCCTCACGTGCTCACCCTCCCCCACTACATCCGCCCCTGCCCAGCTGGATGCGGACACACCGGCCGTAGCTCCCAGGCCCTGGCCTTCCCACTCCCCCACCTCCACTGGGATCACCTCCAGGGTCACCTCCTGCAACCTCTCCAAGACGGCGACCTCTCAGTCCCTCCAGCACCCCGGCTGGACTGCTCTCAGAGCTTACAATATCAGACCACCTGCCCCAAACCTGGTACTTCCCGGGCCATGCCAATGGCTCTTCTGCCCTGTGGATGCCACCCTGGGCCTGCCAGCCACAGCCCTGCCAGCGGCCGCCACTCCTCGCCCTGGCTGCCTTCCTCGTTGACTCCCCCCCGCTGCCAGTAACCCCCTCACAGGTCAGGACCCTGCTTTTGCAGCCTGGGGCGGGACTCTCCCCTCCTTCAGGGTTGGCCCGGCCCCTTTGGCCCAGCCACACAGTGTCGGGATGACCTGGCCACAGACCTTCCCAGGCTCGCTCTTGGGTTCAGGCTCTGCTGGGGCAATTTAGCGCCTGATTTTGAGGACAAGAACCTCTACTTCCTGACATTTGCGGTGGTGGCCTTAGGGACAAGCCACTCAGCTCTTCTGTGCTTGTTGGATTATCTGTAAAATGGGAACAATGGTGAAATCTACCTCACAGATATTGCTGTGAGACACCAACCCGTTTATCTAAGGGAAACTATAGAGTCTATAGTAGGGGTGTCGAACTCAATCAGAGAAGGGGCCAAAATCTAAAATCCAGCCTAAATCGCGGGCCGAATGGTTTACTGAACAGTCATAAACTGTCATTGTGATGGAAACGCAGCGGAGTGCAGTGATGACAGCGCGGTGCGGGCCACATTGCAAGGCCTGGCGGGACGGATTTGGCCCGCGGGCCTTGTGTTTGACACATGTGGTCTATAGCATTAGCCTGGCTCCCGGGGAGGACTACCCATGTGTTAACTATTCTTGTTCTCTTTCCACTTGCGTTCAGCCCTGTGTCACGTGCAAAATGGAAGCAGCAGGCTAGCTGCACCTTTCCTTACTAATGACTAACATTTATTAAACATTCAGTACGTGTCAGACATGCTTCCAAGCATTAAATGCTCATTAACTCATCGCACCTACTCAAACCTGTGAAGTGGTTACTAGCATGATCCTCCCTCAGTAGCTGGGGCCGCTGAGGCCCAGAGAGGGTACCCAGCCTCCCTAAGGTCACACAGCCATGTGGCAGAGCTGGGACGTGAACCCAGGCCACCTGGCTCCCGAGGTGTGCACTCTGCCCCGATGCTCCTGCCAGCCTCTGCCACTGCTGAGGGGAAGACCAGCTCAGAACCCACGGACACCCCACGAGGGACCCTTGTCACGCCTGGGGGACTGGTCAGGCCTCCTGCTGTCCCCCGCCCATACTTCTCTCCTGAGGAAGAAGCAACTCTAAGCACAGCATTTCCGACCTCAAGTGGACTTTCAAAGCCACCTCCCAGGGGTACGGAGTGACCCGTGGAAACAGACTAGAGATGAGGCGACACTTCCCAGAGACCCCTGTGCGGAGTGTGGCCCCCCCGCCCGGCAGGAACGGCTGTGTGACAGGTATCTGGGCCGGAAGGGAGTCCGCCTCCCCATCCGGGTTCGGGGAGGCCTGCCCTCCTCAGGCGCCACCAGCGCAGCCACGGACCTGGATGGGGAACTGATAAGAGCAGCAAGTCCTGGGATGAGCCACTTTGCCAGACACACACGAAAATAGTATCATGTGTGGTGACTCACTGGGCTCCCCGCTTTCCTCAGAGACCCTTCAGCATCCTGTCCCGTCCCCACCCCGCCCCACGCCCTGCACTCCCCCTCTGCAGCCCCGCAGCAGAAGTTGGCCCAGCTCCTGGGATGGGACACCTGCCCCTCCGAGCAGGTCCCTGGGGAGAAGCTCTACTATCTTCCCAATGTGTCTTTCCAGGCATCCCTTAGCCCACTGGGCACCCCCACAGGGGAAGAGCAGCACCCCACCCCCGTTCCAGGGGGCACACAGGTTTCCCTGTGGTCGCCCTCCTGGTGGAGGCGGGCACAAACCTGGGCACGGGGTGGATGGAAAGGAGGCTCTGGTGAACCCCAGGGGTGTGATGCTGGTTTGTTTTCAGTCCGGAATGTGGTCTCCAGGGGTCCTCAGAGTGGGAGACCCATCACAGGGACATAGTGGAGGCCTGTCTGGATGGGGCGCTCAGGCCAGGTGGGGAGCCTCCCTGGGCACTGACCCATAAAACAGAGGGGCCCTCTGAGCTCCAGGCTGAGTGGAGGGTGGCATCCCAACCCCCTCCTCCTCTCTCCCGGGGGAAGAAGCTTCAGCCCTTAGCCCTCAGCTCCTCCATTCTTCAACCTCTGAAACCACCACTCCCTTCCAGCCCAGTCTTGGCAGCCCCTCTGGTGGGTCAGATCCAGCCTGTCACCCCGTTTTGGACAGCCAGCGAGTCAAGAATGATGTTTACAGTTTTAAAGGATCAGAGGGGAAAAAAAAAAAAAAAAAAGGAAAAGCCTCGCCTTTCACGACACACGAACACAGTGAGATTCAAAATCCCATAAATAAGCTCCTCAGACACAGCTGGCTGCCTCCACGCTGCCACCGCAGAACCGAGCGGCTGTGACAGCGTGTGGCCAGCAGAGCCTCAAACACGGACGACCCGGCCCTTTGCAGAAAGGTCACCGGCCCCTGTCCTCGTCCCGTGCCACACGCACTTCCTGCGTTCGCTCCCTCGCATTAGGAACAATAATGGGCTTGCATTAGGATTCCTATGACAGTTCTTTGGCAAACATCGGGGTCCCAGGTACATGGAGAACTGAGGGTGTGTGCCTCTTTGTCCCTCTGTCTTCCTGCTGCCGCATGTTCCGTGCCAGCGCTCTGGCAGGTGTCACGGGAAGCCTGTGTGCTTCCCTGGCTGTGTGTCACCCCCTCTGTGTGTGTCACTGCGGGGGAGGCTGTCACCATGGGCCTGTGACGGCATCCAGGGCCCGGTGCAAACACATCGCAGTTGATTTGCTGCCTGCGTGCTACCTGGCAGCTGGACCGCTAGGCCCAGCCGTTCGGACTCCGGGCTCGGATTCCTCCGCCCGCCCCGAGTAGAACACCCCGAGGCAGCCCCGTCCGGGCCACCCGACTTCGGCTCACACACCTCCGGGGCGAGAACCCCGCTGTCCGGCAGGGATGGGGGTCATGCTGGGAGCTCTTCCAGGTACTGCGCTGAGCCTGGCTCTGCCCTCTGGCCGACGGCATGGGGTGTCTGTCCTCTCCTCCGCGCCAGCCAGCCCTTGGTCAAGGAAACCTCCCCCCACCCCCGTCGCCCCCCCCAGCCGGGGAGCCAGAGGCCTGAGGCCGTGCCCCCAGAAAGAAAGCCACCTGAGCGCCTGCCTCTCCGAGCCTCTCGGTTCTACACGATGGTAGCCACCCATTTTGTGTGTTTGCTTATTCGACACAAATGGAGAGAGTACCCCAAAGTAGGGGCATGGCCGAGAGGGTGGTCGCAGGAGAGAAAATGGGTCCTGAAGCTTTCAAGCCCCTGCCCATCTTTAGCCAGATTAGCCCTGAGAATGCAGAAAAGGGTCCTTCCAGGGGCTCCCCACAGCCATGTCCCCTCACTGTGAGGGGGGCAGACTCCCTGGGTCTTGTCCCAGACGCAGCACCCCGGGTGAACTGCCCATGGTGGGGAGGCAGGGATGGGCTGCCTCCCAAGTCACCCCACACACACACTTGTTGATGGATTGGTTGGCAGAGCTGGCCCCGGGCCTGTCTAATGTACACGTTCAGATTTCAGCTCGTGTCCAGACTGGCACCTCTGCTTGCCCTCTCCAAGGTCAGTGGGGACCAGGAGCCCGATTCATCTGTACCTGTGGGCTCTACCAGCCCAACCCACCTGCACCCAGCACCCAGCTCAGATTGGGGCCTCCTGGGAAAATCTGGGTGCTGCTGCTACCTCCCCCCACGCCACCCCACCCCCAGACTCAAATAGTATCGCATCCCCTTCTGAAGCCCACAGCCACTCAAATGCCTCTAGTCTGGCCTTCTGGGTGCTTCTCCGCCTGGGCCCAGTGGCAGCCTCAAGGCAGGCAGCTCTCCACAGATGAGTGTAGCCCCATCCGTCCCAAGCCCCCTTCCCCCAGCCCCCCACCACCCAGGCTGCTCACAGGAAAAGCCGAGTGTGTGCCTGGCTTTTTGTGTTTGCCGGCTGCGTGGGTCCCAGGGCTTTGTGGGGCACTGCGAGGCTGGGGGAGGTGGAGGAAGGGGAGCTGACGCACTTGCATGGAAAGCAGGCACATGGCCTGGAGTATTGAGGGGGGGGGGGGTCTCCCCTCCTCCCCCAGCACCTTCCAGAGGAGGCCTGAGCTCCTTCCGGGGGCCAGGCTCCACTCCCCAAAGGCATGTAATATAGAATCAGCTTCTGCGGGGCTCCCTTCCGAGGCCCCAACTCGCCAGGATGAGGCCCCTCCTCCCACTCCTGCGCCAGGAACCTGGGCCTTTAAGGCAGCCGCAGGGTCTCCGCCAGGCCCATGTCAGCCTGGGCGGCAGGTGCCCTTCTCAACCACAGGCCCCCATGGCGTTTCCCAGGGGGACCCCCCAAACCATCCAGCCCCAGTCCCTCCACGCTGCGGGAAACCGAGAGACAGCAATCCCAAATGTGTCACCTCAGCGGGGCATTCTATTCTGGCTCCCAGCCCACCTCCTACCGAGCACATCGCTTGCTCAGCCCTCAAAGCGCCTGGGACCTGCGGCATCCAGCACCCGGGGACCCTCAGCGTCGCCTTCCCCGGTCACTCAGCCAGCGCGACCTTGTGCCCTGGGCAGGTCCTTACGGTTCTCACAGGTCCCTCTCTGGCCGCAGTGCGTTCCCACCTCAGGTCCTCTCTTCTGGCACCGGAAGGGGAGAAAGGGGGCGGGGGGAGGGGGGTCGAGAGGTAGCTAGGTCGACCCCACCCCCTAAGGGCTGCAGGGATCGGTCGCCCCAAGCCAGCCCAGACATTGGAGTGGAGGTGGGGGTGCCAGACTGCCGCCCTGGACCGGAGCAGTGATGGCAGGGGGCTTCCTTTTAGATTCGGAGGCTGGCCCCGCGCTGCCCTGGCCCGCTCCGGAGGGGGGTCCGCAGTCCCCGAGGGGCGAGGATTCTGGTGTGGAGGCACAGGGGCATCGGGGCGGGCCTTACCTGCTCCCGGCGGGCCTCGGGGATGCCGGGATGCGGGGATGCGGGGATGCGGGCTGCGGGTCAGCGGGGCAGACTCCGCGGGGAGGGAGCAGCGGCGATCGCCCGGCGCCGCGCAGGCTGGGATCCTGTGGCCGCGGAGTGCGCGCCGGTCCCGGGTCCGCGTGCGTGTCTCCGCCGCCCGTGGCCGCGGGCCTGCCCGGAGCGTGTGCGTGTGCGTGTGCGGGGACCGCTCTCCCTGCAGCCGCCGCTGTCACCGCCCGAGCGGGGCCCACGCCGTGCCTCCCGCCCCGCGCCGCCCAGCCGCTCTGCCTCCGAGAGGAGAGGCGCCGCCTCCGCCGGCTGCGGGCGGGAGGGAGGACAGACCCCCGCCTCCCGCCGCCGCCCCCCTCGCCTCGCCGCAGGCCGGGCTGGGGCAGGCCAATGGGCGCCGGGGGGAGGGCTCAGGCCGGGAGGTGGGAGGTGGGAGCGGGACCCCGCCCGCTGCAGAGGCACCAGCGGGAGCTGAGAGCTGCACCGCAGACCCTGGAGGACAGGATGAGGGGGCCGCTCCCCCTTTGTCGCTGGGGCTTCCGAGTGGGGCCTTCCCCAGGGTTCACCGCCCTCCTTTTTAGCCTCCCCGTGATATCCAGAGCATGAAAGCCCTGTTCTTTCCCCCTCCCACACCCTCACGATTCCGTGTCTCCTCCTCCTCCTCCTCCTCCTCCTCCTCCTCCTCCTCCTCCTCCTCCTCCGTGAAGCCTTCCTTACTCCGCAAGTCCTACTCTCCTGGGTCTGCGTCCCTGCAGCCCGCAGCCCGGCCTGAAAGATCAGCTGGCTTTGGGGAGCCTGCCTGGATGTCATCAAATGTGATTGATTTCCTGAAGAATCCTCTATGTTTAGAAAAGTGGTAGGGGCACAAAGGGGGGGGGGGGGGGGGGCCTCGCAGCTTAAATGAGCCGCTCCGGAGTCAGCCTCCTGGCTCTGGTCCCCAGATCCTGGCTAGCCCGGTAAGCCTGGGCCCCGGGGCTGGATGGCTTTCAGCCTCAGCTTCTTCATGTGCCTTGACATGCCCCATAGGTTTTCCCTGAACTTACTTATCCACTGGAGAACACATGACTGTGGCTGCTGTCACTGTGATCCTGCTGACCTCCTCCTGGTACCGATGGGTAAACCGAGGCTTCATCAGGAGACTGAACAGGTCATGCAGCCAGAATTGGTGGTGGAGCCAACTCTTGAGAACCCCCTTCCAGACAACGTATTCACCCTCTGCCCACCCCAACAGGCCATCCCTGCTCTGCCTCACATGTCAGCATCCCAAGAGCCCCATACACACACACACACACACACACACACACACACACACACACACATTCATCTTCTGCAACCAGGCTCTGGCTCCACATCAGCTGTTGTCCACCCTCCGCGTGGGCCCGAATCTTGCTCCGGCCACCTTGCTGAGCAAATGGAAGTCTCAGGAAGAGAGGGGATGTGTGACTGGGGTCTTTCCTCAAGGATCCCCATCCATCTGAGGAAAAGAGGACCGGAAGCGAGAGCTGGAGTCCATCATGGAAACTAAAGGAAGTGCCTGCGGCCCCAGAAAGATGCAGGGAGCTCCCCGGTCCGCACAGTGGGCCCATGGTTCCCTTTCACCGCATCGTGAGCACTGGCCCTGCTGGTACACCCACTGCTGGTCACCAGGACTCCCGCGCCTTCCCGTCCAGGAAAGCTTCCTGGTGGAGGAGAGCATCAGTCCTTTGCATCGAAAAGAGCGACCCCTCCTGGGAAGAAACGGGCCTGGTGCTGAGCTAGAGTCAGACAGGCAGCTAGGACTTGCCTCTGGACCTGGCTGGTTGCCCTAACCCCTGGGAGCCTGCTTCCTTCCTTGGGACAGCCCTGGCATTGTGAGGATCGAATGAGATGCGGAGTGTGAAAGTGCTCTGTAAACTGTGACCGGTCCTTCGAGGGGAGGGGAGGGGAGGCTGCAGGGGCCTCAGAGTCGGGAGGGAAACGCGGAGTGAGGAACGCGGGGGGCCCAGAGTGGAACGCTGGGTGGAGATCAGTCCTGTATGGCAGGCCCGTCCACCTGGAGCTGTCCATGGGGCTGGAGGCACGCCAGCCTTGGCTCTGAGGTTTATACTCAGTTGCAGGTGTGTTCCCTTTTCCACACTCTGAGTCCCCCAGGCCCCACAGTGGGTCCTGTATCCCATGCACTCTGTCCTGCGTCGCAGATGTATGCCATGGTGTGGGCGGTGAGCAGGCTGGCGTGGGCACGCCTTCTTGTCTGCCTGGGCAGCCGCCGGCTGGGGCAGAAGCCCAGCCATGCTCTACTCACAGCCTTCCAGTCACCTCGTCTCGCTTTGCTTCATGGCCCCGGCCAGAGGGTGAATCTGGCCAAGCACACACGGGGGGCAGTCAGGGCTCCGGGTACCGCTGTGCGATGTGTGCCCCACACGAAGGGATGTGGCCAAGGGGCAAGTGGGGTTAGAAGTCCAGCTCCTGCTCTGCCCACTGCCCACCAGTTCTGGCACACAGAATCCACCCCCAAAAAACAGGTTTCTAGTAAGTTCGGGGGGGGGGGGCACCTCTCTAATCTCCCCAAGGTGCTATAGAGACCACCAGTTCTTATAGATGGATCTCACACAAGCCCCGCCTCGTGACATCGGCCCACAGAGATGTGAAAATGAGCATCAGAGCTGGGGTCCAGGGGTTTGTCTAGTCCCCTTCCCTGTGAACGGAGTGCCTAAGCCCTAAGGGGCACAGGACCAGCCCTAGGACACCCAGGTCACTCTCGGATTGGGAACTGAAGCCCGCGTCCTGGTGCCCACCTCAGCATTCTCCCTGGTGGGCTGCCCCCCTCCCGCTGGAGTCCGGGCTGGGCTTCCTTGTCCTGGACTACTTTCTGCTATTCCGGGCTTATGGCTGCTCCTTCCAAACAACTGTGGACATACTCCAGCTGCTGCTGTCCCCCCAGACCGGACCAGCCTCCCCCTCTTTGTCCAAGGCAGCCGCCCTTACTCAGTCTGCCTGCCTGGCTTCAGGGCCACTAGAGCCGAGGGACGAGCCTTGGGAATGGTCTCCCAGAAGGACCCCTTGCGTGCCTCCTCCCTCCTCAGCAGCTCTCCCTCCCCCGAGGTGCTCACTGCCTCAGCTCCTTCCACAGCCAGCCAGCCAGCCAGGCGGGCAGCAGCTTAAAAACATGGGTTTTAATCCAATTTGCCGAGACCTGGCTGAGGGAGATAGATGCCAGGCTGCCCTACCCAGCATTCATCTCTCCTGAACAGCAGCGCCCTGGGAGGTCCGGCCGGCCCACCCCCCAATCCAGCCCTCCCCCCGCACAGGCAGGAGCAGCGCCTTCCATGACACAGCGGCGTCTCCCGGGAACAGCCGAGCCGACACGAGGTGCCTACGGCAAAGAGCTGACGTTTGCCGAATGCTCACCGTGTCTAGGCCTGGTGGTTCTCACCCTTCCTGGTGTTGTAGGACCCCCCGGGAGCTCTAAACACGTCTCCCCACCCAAGCTCGTTAGACGATCGGTCTGTGGTGAGGCCTGAGCAGAAGTATTTTTTAACGCTCCCGGGGGATAGTGATGTGCAGCCGGTGTGCAGAAGCGCTGCGGTGGGCCCTCCGCTAACTGCTTTGCCTGTGAGCTTCCCCATGCCGCATGCACAGGTGCTCAGGGCCCGAGAGAGGGGTCCTCAGACATCGTGGCATCAGAGGAGCCTGTTCTATTGTTCCAGGAGCTCTAGAAATGCTGGTGTTTCCTACACCTCCAGGGCATGCAGAGGGCGGGGGCTCACCGCCTCACGTGCATTAGCCTCCGTGGTTCACATCTGGAGAGTGTCACAGTGGCCTTGAGGGCCAGGCTGTGGAGAATGGGTTTCTTGCCACAGAGGAGCAACGTGCTGGGTCACTTCTCACTCACGCCAGTGGGAGCCTCAGGCCTAAAGTGGGCAGCTCGGAGGCAAGTTTTATTCAGAAGGCTCTCTGGTTCCTGCCTGCATCAGCTGGCCAGGGCGTCCATGAGGAGGGAGGTCCCCTAGAAGGCTCGCCAACACAACAGGGCAGAGTCAGGGAGACTTGGAGTGCTGAGCCCCCCAAAGTTGTGTGAGTGTATTGCTACAGGGACATTCCAGGCGGCAGAGCCTGCCCTGCCCTGGGACGGCACCCATTCCAGAAGCAGGAGCTGCAGGTCAGGTGCTCAGATGCCCTGCCTCTCATCCAGGAGGCTGCATCCTCGTCAGAGACACTGCCATCGAGAGCCTCGCTAGGTACCCATGCACCTGGACCCGGAACCCTGGGGGTGCTCCCAGAAGCCAAGGTAGTGATGTGGAGCTGCCTAAGTCCGTGGTTTTCGAGCTGTGTACCAGGAGCTCTAGAAATGCCTGCAGCTGCCACCCCCACGCCCCACACCAGGAGCCTGGGGAACAGGAGGAAGGGAGACCCATCTTCAGACCCGCCGGGGAGCTCCTCAGAGCTGGGGAGTCCTGAGTCTTCCTGTTCCGCCTGCCCCCCTCCCCAGGGTGTGACGATAGGTAAGGGTGAGCAAGGGGAGGACTTTGTGCGAGTAAGGGAGGTGGGATCAGGGGTTTGACACCCTAAATTCTGAGTGTTGACTGGAGTGGTGAGCACCCCATTTCACAGATGAAGCAAATGAGCCTCAGAGAGCAGAAAAGATTGTCTCCAAGTGAACAGGCTGACTCTGGCAGAGTCCGGGTCGCGTCCCCGGTCTCTGGGCTTTTTAGACCTGTGCCTCCTGTCCTGAACCGTGATAACTCTTAGGAGAAAAGACACGCTTCCAGGGAGTTCAGAAGAGTGGGGATGGGGTGGCAAAGCTTGGAGCAAAGGTGGGAGATGCGTGAGAAGATCCCCACGCCCTCAGCCTCCTCACGTACGTGCAGCAATACGCACATGCAGCCTCGGGGCCCGACCAGCATACACCGGCTCTGCATAGTTACTGCCGTCCATGAGTCTGCTCCGCACACCTACACACGTGCCTTTCCCTCCCACACAGTGCCCAGCGGTGCACTCACAGAGGGAGTGAG